AAACACTTTGAGTTCCATTGAAGTTGAAGTGCCAATTTGCTACGAGATCACAGTGAGGATAATGGTTTCTACTCCTCTTATTCTCCTTACAAAAAAACCATTGACATCTTTTTTTCCCTTGCATGGCACAATAAAATGTATGAGGAAAATCACTTGTTAAGCCTACCTAGGAAAATAATGAGGACTTCACGTTGAGCTAATTTGTCAGCAGCTTAGTCCAACAAACCTGCACTGTGGTATATGCATCTTATTAAATAGGTATTTCCCAGCAGAAAAAGGAAATGTAGAAAGATTCTTTGTGTGAGGTGAGGAGTCATTTCACAACAAAGTCTGCTGGAACTTCAGAAGATGATTTTGTCAGGAAGATTTAACAGAACAAAATAAGGATTAACATAAATCACTAGCATGGTTTTAGCATAAAGCCTTGTTCCAGCAAGATTTTATCAATATTACACTATTGGCACAATTGCTTTGGGGACGTTTTCATGTTGGATTGATCATTTGATAACCCTTATGCAACAGGTGATGTTAAAACTTTCATCCATAAAAGAGGAACCAGATAGCTATGTAGAAGAAAAAATAGACTATATTTGGTTTTGGATAGAGGTGGCCAATTTCACTATCCAGAAACTTTATAAACATGCACTTATTCTGGCTGAATGAGGTATTCCTTTAGGTAAAGATTCACCTCTTCTGCTATACTTTTGGTTTGGTGGAACTGTGGTAACATTTAATTAACGGGCATTTTGCTGCTGCTACTTTTGTTATGAATTATATGGAAATAATGGGTATTTTTAAAATCTTCTGGTTGTAAACCACCCTGAAGGCTTTTTATCAAAGGACATTATATATGCATTTATCTATCTATCAATCAATATTAAGCTGAAAACAAAGTTGCCCCATCAAACCATTCGAATGCACCTTCTTTATTATTCCTTAGGATTCATGTCGGATGAGGTCTTTAACCATGAAGTACCATTCCCATGTCACCTGCCATGTTCTCGCTTCTTTTATTGCTCACAATCCACAATTCCAAGAGCGGAAAACAGCCATTTCCCTTCCCAGTTTAATGACCTCATCTTTCGAACTTTGGAAACCAAAATGGCGCCCTGAGAAAGACTGTTTGTTTTTAAGCTCTATGATTGGAAAAGTCTCAGAAAAAGGCAGCCAAAATGACCAAGGGGATGGAGCAATTCCCCTGTGATAAAAGGCTGCAGCATTTGGGACTTTTCAGTTCAGAAAAAAAGGCAAGTAAAGAAGAGATATGATAGAATATTTTTTTGCTTGGCATAGAGAAAGTACATAAGGGAAACATCTTCCTCCCTCGCCTATAACACTAGAACTCAAGAACATCCAATGAAGGTGAATGTTGGCACTCACTCCCATAAGAAGAAGTAATGGCTACCAACTTTGACTTAAAATGGACTAATTTATGAAAGGTAAGGCTATCAATGTCTACTAGCTAGGATGATTCTGCTCTGTTTCCATGGTTGCAGGTGGTATGCATCTGAACACCAGTTTCTGAAAAGCACAGGAATGGAGGGTGATCTTGTGTTTGGTTCCTGCTTGTGGGTTTTCCACAGGCATCTGGTTGGTCACTGTGAGAACAGGATGCTGGACAAGATGGGCCACTGGCCTGATACAGCAAGCTCTTCTTATGTTCTTATGTGCCTGCTCCCCACCCTCCAGTTAAAACCTTCACCTGTTTCTTTGAATGTCTGAAGAGGCTATTCTGTAATTTGATTTTAGTTTTAGTGCTGCATTATTCAAAGTATGCAAAGGAATGAGTTGGTTGTTCCTGTGTGAATAGGGAAAACCTATATTAGGACCAATGTATAGCCTGTTTCAAACATTAAAAAAGAAATATTGAATAAAATAAACTGAGGTTTGTTTGTTTAGAAAAGAAACCCATTTGACCACATGCACATTTAGACTTTTCACTACCCGGTGTGACATCTATTAGCCTTATTGTGGGAGCTTAAACCCCACCTTCTGTGATATTTTAAAGGGTTGTCACAAACTTGGCAGGTGTGAATCATTACTCTTAGCTAGGTTTCAAAGATTATTTACCTGATAAATGGCATCCATCAACTCCCAGCAGTGTAGTCAACTATTCAAATAATTGCATGAGTTCAGAGGAGAAAATGTAATCCTTCCCTGCATAGAGCTACAGCCACTTCAATGGATAAATTTAATCATTAAGAAGGCATAAGGCAGAACTTCAGAAATGTTGCCTGATGCTAAATGTTTGCAAATGAGATCTCTTCTGAGCACCATGATATGATTTTATGCTCAGATTGCAAATATACTTAATGCAGCCTATAAATCGTTTTGGTAAATTGATTGTGATAGTTTGCTATTTTTCTCCAGTTTGCAAAGTAAAGTGGGCAGGAGAAGTGACTTTAAAGAACAAACATCTCTGCCAACAGCTTTCAGGTATTCGCCTGCAATTCAAAGGGGTCTTGTGTTCAGAAGAAAATAGATGCATTTCTTTCGTTGTTATTTGATAGAGTCAGCAAATGAGTTGGCACTAGAAATGCTGTATTGTATTGGGATTCAATCCACTAGAAGCAGTGGGGTGAAAGTTCTGCTCTCAAATCTTACATAACGAATTCTTGAACTGATATCTTGAAAGAGGTTAACTAAAAATGAGAACCAATAGTCAGCGCAAGAACAGTTTTATGGGAACCTGGGGGAAAGATCACTGGGGTGTCTGCCCTTGCCACCCACATATCTGACTAACAGATGAAGCCTAGCATTATGAATCTCTATAGAAACTTATATATTGTATTTTAATCCTAGATTTACAAGACAAGAGCTACACAATTAGTTGTATGTTTCTGTCCTTAAAAAGCCTGGGGCCAGATGAAGAAAGCACAAAGAACAAGGACAATTGTACTGGGTGGGGAGGCAGGAAGGGACTTTACAGAATTCTGAAGTATTCTCTCCAACAATATAGTTGGACAAATTTAATTTCTGAGCCTGGCAAATGCAGTCTATTTTGTGTCAGAAAATATACACATGACCTCTCTCTGTTATGATTTTTCAGATTGTGATGGAAAATACTCTGAGAACCTTGTGGCCTCTTGTGAAGCTTTCATCTAGACATCTAAACACCTTGCAGTGCCTCTCACAATGCTCTTCCTCAAAAAGTGAGACGGGAAAGTTCTAATTTCCCCTTTAATTAAAATGTACTAAACAAAGCCAGTTCTGCATCCTACCAGGCATCACTCTGATGATTTGTGCTAGCAGTTTATAATCTGAGTCACTTGCTTCCAGGGACAAGAGTCCCTGAGACTGACTTCACTCTTCCCCAACCAGATTTCACGCTGTTGCCTTTTACCTGCAATCTAAAACTTACCTTTTAAAAACAGTAGGTGCAGCTGCAAATGGGTTAGATAAATCTATAAGACCTCTTTGAGAATGCCTACTGGATGCATGGCTCTGTAAAGTCAATGTACTTCAGCATCAAGCTAAAGTTTTAATAAGCTCCCAGCAGTCTAGGATTTCCATTTGTTACATCCCCAAAGCATTTAGAATGTTGTCACCTACAGATAAAAATAATTGCTGTTATTAGCTGATATGTAGCCCTCTCCCTTTCCTGATAAAAAGGAACTTAATAGCTCAATTTACGATGAAATACAATGTTGGGGGGGGGCTTATTTGGTAGATTAATTGGTTGTTCTTAGGTAACACCAGTACCTACATAAAAATGCAAAAAGCCCAGTGGCAGGAAAGATAGAAGAACATGGCAAAAGTTTTGAAAAGGAGATCAGTATTTGATCTATACTGGCGTGATTTGAAACGGTTGATATTGGAAAATCTGCCAAATTTTGTATATGTACGAACATTTGTTTCAGCACTCAATCAAAGCTTTGTGATACGGTACAGCTTGGAATGGGGCTCCACCCCTCCTGAAGAATCAAGTGAGCAGTTTGTTGGAGCTCCTGGATTTAGCATTATCCCTGCCTAGGTGTCTCAGGATAGCTAGGTGCATTTTCTACCAGCTTTGACAGGCTTTCAAGCTGTGGCCTTACTTGGAGTTTTGGAGCCCTTCCAGCACAATCACCTACTAGGCGATTCTAGCTGCGCTGTTGTCTCTTCCCCTTTTATTTTCCCTCTTGTCAGCAACCATACTGAAGCCTGACCCAATGATTGAGAGCAGCTTAAATGTGTTGCAGAATTTCCTCTGCTTGTCTTACACACTGAACTCTCACATCAAGAACAATACTCCCCGTCTCCCTGGGTTTACTTGGAACCCTGCTGTGCCCAAATGAAAAATGCTAATTGCATTTTCTTTTTCATTTTTAGTAGAACTTTGTTTCATTGCAGGGGTGCTCTATCCTTCTCCTCACATCCTGAAATCAAAGATGTGACAATCTGGACCACTCCGGTGTGGCTGTTGTGCATATATGGAACCTATAAGCACCTACACTTCCCACATGGATTAAGTTAAGAGCAGACAGAGTGTGAAGTGCATAAATTAATGCACCATCGTTTCATTTAAAGTTAATTTAAATGTTTGGTCTGACAATGATACTGAACTCACAAGGGGAAGGAAAGCTACCAAAAAAAAAGTATATTGACTTCTTTATTAACAACTATGAAATCAGCAACACAGAATTTGTTTGGATTAACCAGTTTAGGAGAGAATAATTTCAATTGGAACGAAACCAACATTTTCTTTGTGCATCTCCAGCAACAATGGCACCCCAGAAACAATGTTATTTATTTAAATTATTTATATATTGTGTACATAAAATAACAAAAAACAAACAAACAAGTGTAAGAATAAACATTCCCCATGAAGCCAAAGACAACATTAAAATGAAAATCTTGAAGTTATTGAAGTCTTGGCTTCTATTGTAAGATTAAAAATAAAATAAATGGGTGGCTTTTTAATATTAGTGTAAACCACTGAGAGATTGTCCTTGAAAACAAAATATAAATGATTGAAAAGAATAAATGAAATAAGAAAAATATTGACTCATTGGTGTAATCCCCTTTACTGGTGGCTACAAGATTGGAGGTGTTTTTTGTTAATGGATTGGCCCAACTTTCTTTCTTGTACTCTTATGTCTGCAGATATCCTACTAGGCACATATAATGTGATGAGCAGGGACAGCAATTGTGAAGAATGTAATTTTCTTCTGATTACTAAAGTGTGCCCCCATGAATGACTGTACTTCCATCATGGCACACAATTCTGTTTCAACAGTAGGCTGCCTCTGACGTCTTGCCTAAGACTCCTTTACAAAGGAAATGAAATATGAAAATGAAGGTGGACTCCTATTTTCATGCAATTATCTGCTTACTAGGTAGTGCTTACAAATTCGAAGTGCGCATGAAAAAGAGAGGGAAAATTGAAGAGGAGACAGAATTGGTCAATTTATCTTTGTAAAGGTACAATTTACAATATCATTTAAAAATATGAAATTAAATCATATGGGATTCCGGCTGCTAATGTTCAGTGGGCTTTGAATGTAGTCTAATTCACCGATGCCTTGAATCAGACCAGAAGAAATGCTGTCTAGAACCACAGTTATTTAATACACCCCCCACCTTATTCCGCCATGTTTGTATTAAATGAGTCTGTAAGAATTTTTCCCCCTATATTATTGCTATGCACTATCAACAATGCAGCTTGGTAAAAAGCTTTCCAGGATTCAGTGGACTAAGACCAATTTATGCCACAATCATAGAGCAAAATCTAGATCAGTGAATTTTCAGAAGAAAAAAAGAGATGCTTCTGAGGCTATTAACCTTTTGAGGATGTTAAAATTGATGAGCTGCTGGAATGTGTCAGGTTGGTTCCTTGAAGATTAATACTGAGTGAAGGTCACGGCAGGCAAAGCTGGCAAAACATTAAAAGATAATAATTCAGGTAACTCTCTTAAGATTAAAACAATCTTCGGTTTAAAAGCTTTCTAAAAGCTGGGGTGACTTACTCTGGCTCAATGGAACCATTTGAAATGGAACTGCATGGGCAATTTGAAAACTCACTACCAATCAAGTGGAATAAATCCCACTAGGTTCCTGAAAAGACAGACCACCAAAGTACACGGGGTCTGTTGCTGTGCTGCCAACTCTGTGAAACTAAGATCCGCTGGAGACTTTTATTCAATCTGGTTTAAGAAATAAAAATGGAAGACTGGGAGGAAACCCAGCTGCTGCCATGATCACCCCCTGAGGCAGACTTTGGTACTAAGGCATCCTGAGCTGGGCCAAAAATTGGCACCTACTCCCACCCCTCGTGCAGTGCCAGGCTTTGGGAAGGAGGCATGAGGGCTTTGGCAGGGTCATAGAGCCCTATTACCTCCTTCCCAAAGCTGAAGAAGCACTAACTAGGATTCAGGAAGGAGGAGGGGGTCTCTAGGACCCTGTCAGAGGCTTCATGCCTCCTTCCTGTAGGTGGGGAAGTGCTAACCGGGGGTCCTCTGCTCAGCGCCCAGTAAGGGGGTACTGGTTGTACTGCCCTAAAATTACCTCTACAATACAACAAAACCAAAACACCAAACCGGCTTGCAAATATAAAGGACAATTTTACTTAGTTAAGCAAATTAAAGTGCAACGTGCATATCATACTGTACTCTTGTAATCCAGATGTTAAGCAGGCTTTGCAACAGCTTCATCAGTCCATAATACTATACACTCAACATGAAACACCAAGAATATAATAACATCACAGGCACTTGCTGTACAGGTCTTCTGATCTATTGTATTACTTTCGCCGTGGGACGGTGAAGAGGTGCCCGTCTGCAACTACTACTTACGTATGACCCCTCCCTCTACATATGGCCATGTGGAGAACCCTTTTTTGCAACCGTTCCCACTTACAGGACTTTGCACTTCCAGTAGATAACTAACTGTAGAACGATTTGCTTGTTTCAACTGTGCTATGACACTATTACTATATGCATTATTGGCAGAGTTGTTCCACTAGTTGACTGTATGTCTATAAGTATCTCCAGGCTTTGATATGCACGTTGCACTTTAATTTGCTGATAATTTGCTGAACTAAGTAAAATTGTCCTTTATATTTGCAAGCCGGATTGGTGTTCTGGTTTTGTTTTATTGCAATTGTTATAACACTTGATACTTTTTTGGTATACCTAAAATTACCTCTATCACCCCTACCGCTAAAACAGTGTAAACTATTTCTCTTTGGGCTCCATCTTGATTTTTATTAATCTGTATTGTTTGATTGTGGTTTGTCTTTTCTCTGTTTTTTCTTTCTTTTTTCTTCTTCTTTGTTTTCTTTTGTAATTCTAAAATTTTCAATAAATATCATTTAAAAAAATAATAATAATGACATGGGGCAAAATGAACCAACCCTTATAATAATGCTGTTTGTCTCGGCTTGTGGTGATCATACAGGCCTATCCATTGAACCTGGTTCCTGTTATTATCCTAGAGTCTAGACCAATGGTTCTCTTTTTTTTTTTTTTTTTAAATCATATTTATTAAAGTTTCCAAAAATATAAAAATACAAAGAAAAAAAGAAAAGAAAAAAAGATATTTAAAAACCGTACTTTCATTGCCTACTTTCTGGGACTCCCCTCCCCCGACTGTATTCCCTTTCCTTAATTTAGTTCTACAAGCTCTCACTCCCAATTTGAAGCTTAATTTGTTTAACCCACTATCCAAATTGAATTGTACAAATCTTACCACCGTCCCACATCATTAACAAGAAAAGAAAAAGATTTTCCCCAAGATCCACCCCCGTTCCTTCCACGAATTCCCTTTTTTTAAACACGTCAAATCAAATTTAAATGACATGCTTAATTTTTGTATAAAATTAAATTTTAAAAGATATAGAAAACTTCAAAAGATGTTTACACAGCCTTTGTATTTCTAATCTCCCCCTTCCCGGTTTGAATTCCCCATATCCATCAGTCTGTGCATTATCAGCTTGGAAGTCTCAATTCATGACCAAATTTCTCCCCGATTCCATCTTGCCGGTTTTCTTTTAATTTATTAATAATATGTAACTTCAAGTGTCCAATCTAACAAAGGCCTTTAATTTCCTTGATCTTTACCACTCCTCCCGTTGTTCTTTCCGTGTCATAATCAGTCCTTTGTTCTTCTTTTCCTCACTTTCTCAGGTTTCTTGTCCTGTTCAGCTGCTAAAACTTTCTAATTCAGAAATCTGATATCTCTGCAGAGGTTTGCCAATGGTTCTCAATTAGCTAAGTACTGCAGACCTGTTTTTCAAAAGCCAAACAATAAATCCCCTACTTTTGAAAACTATGAGAGCTCTATGGTAGTTTTTGTTATGAGAATAGTGTCATGCATGGACCCCTGGGGTCTGCAGACCACCAACTGGGAACCACTGCCCTGAACTTTTGGTTAGATCTCCTGCCTTCCAGAGTGTCCATAGGCTCTTCTGCCCCAGAACAAGACATGAGGACCCAGACTACCTAACAAAATGGCTGAAAACCTCTGTATGTGCAGAATATGTCAGGTCTCTGCACATGCTCAGATCTTTGACCTATGCATTGAGTAAAATGTACCCACACATTCCTCATTTGTTATAGTTTAGTGTTGGTCTATAGCAGGCATAGGCAAACTTGGCTCTCCTGATGTTTTGGGTCTACAACTCCCATCATCCCTAGCTAACAGGACTAGTGGTCAGGAATGATGGGAGATGTAGTCCCAAAACATCTGGAGGGCCGAGTTTGCCTATGCCTGGTCTATAGCAACTGCAACTGCTCTCTGTTCCTTCCTTATCAAATAACTGCTGTGAAAAACCAGCCTGTGTACATACACACACACACACACTTCCACCATTTGACTGTACAGTTCTGACAAATCATGAATGATATCCCAAGCATTTCATTTCAATGTTTAGCTTAAGATGTGTGAGGGGTGAATTCATAAGCAGTTATGGGAGGCGTTGTGTTTGATGTGGAATTTATCATTCCAGTCTCACTGGGCTTTGATCCTACATTCTGCTGGCTGGTTCAGGGGAAATCATTTTGCCTGTCTCCACATAAAATGTACATGTGCTGCCTACACTGTAGCTACAAGCAATCACATCTTCTTATTAACTTTGGGTGATGTAAGCAAAGGGCTTCATTAAGATCCTATCATGTCTCCCCCTAGTTTCTTTTCCAGCTAAAGCTGTGATGTTTCCACATCACAAAGCAAGTGCTCCAACCACTTCATTATTTTGCTTGAAGAGCAAAACTATGCATTCACCAAAATCATGTGGCAGAATTATTTCCTTACTGTATAGCATCAAATATATGGGAGGTGTGTTTTAAGGATGGTATATTTATTTTTAAAATAATCTCTTCTGCATATACAAAATAACATATATCCCTCAGCTGCCTAATGTTTATTATCTATTAATTTAAATGTTGGAGTTCTTTAAATAAATACCACTTACCTGTAGTCTAAAGTGGGAAATTGCAGAAAGATGCTGTCACATGATTTTGCTCAAGAGCTGCATTCAACCATAGTCTCTTAGACATCAGGTAACACTGCATAAAACAAAATACTGTATAACTTACACACACACACACACACACACACACACACACACACATTATTCTATTGCAAGAAACATGAGGAAAAGGGTAAACAGCAGCTATTTGTATTTTGGCTAATTGTGTTATAATTTCCTTGTAACACACTTCATCATTTTTATGGCTACATTTAATCAATATTATTTAAATTAATAATATCTCTTTTACATAAGAAAGATAAAACCAGTTCTGTGAGGCAAGGAGGCTTTTCAAACTTATGGGCTGTGATAGGACAATTGGGAGGGGGGGAGCAGAGGGCGTGGAACCAATCGTAGAATGGGCAGACATTGTGTAAACTCCTTTACTGTGGAAGTACATATAGCTCTTCAGATCCTACCCAATGTCTTGTTGGACAGAAATGCACTGATTGTGTGTGTGTGTGTGTGTGTGTGTGTGTGTGTATAAAATCTAAGAGAAAAAGAGGGAAATCTCAAGTAACTGAAGGGTACCTATTTTAATTGCATGCCATGTGTTATATTTCCTTCAGGTGGTTTTAGTAATAAAAGGATTAGTGCGGCTAAGTTTCCCCCCATTAAAGTCTCTGGTTAATTAATATATTATCTTAGTATTAATGATCTGGCAATTTTTGACAAGTGAAAGGCATGATGGTTACTAACCATTACCTTTTATGATAATCTTTAATAGTAATGTGTTCGTGCATCCATAAGTGTCACAGCAATCACCTGCCGAAGGAGGTGGAATTAGAATAATAGAATCAGAGTTGTAGAGTTGGAAGGCACCTTGAGGGTCATCTAGTCCAATCTCCTTCAATGCAGGAATCTCAACTACAGCATCCATTAGAAAAAGGGATTTAGAGAAGAAAACAGACAATTTGGTGTTCTAAATTTAGAAGGATGGCAAAGTCAGGTATATCGGAAAGGGTCCACGCCTGCCTCTAGGTAACATTCTCCAGCGGGATGGCCGTTTAGTGTTACTGCTTTCTCACCATAATGTGCCCAGCCATTCCTTTTACAGATTGCGGACAGGCACAGATGCGTAGGTAGACCCACACAAAATAGTAAACCAAGAAGCTTGGCTTAATAATCTATTCTGTGCATGCAGCCCAATCACTTCTGCTTCACTCACTCCTTCCTTTTGTATGAGTGAGTATATGAGGCAGGAAGAAGAGAGCTTAGTATGATATCCAAATACAGGATCATGGATTGTTTCTCCTTTACAAGCCAAGATATGTAAACCAACATCAAAACTTGGTTATAGGCTGGCTAGTAGTCCTGGTATGTTAGGCAGAAACAACAATCCTGGTCTCAGAAGGAATGCTAAACTCTCTGTTTCCTGATTTGCCTACCTGAGTGAAGCAAGAGGGATGGGCTGTGTGCACCAGCATACAGGCTGCGCACAGTATGATTTATTAACTCAAGGTCTTTAGCTTGTTATTACGTGCAAATGCAGCAGTGGTGTACTGCAGTCAGAGGCACACACACAAAAAAATCTTAAATAGGATGTACACTATGTTAATATGCTCTTTAATTTACAGCCTACAGGGCAACAATTTTATTTAAATAATTATCCTGGAACATTGACTCATTTCCCTGCACTCTTGCACTCCTGTTCTTTCCCTTTCCAGCTAGCTCATTATAATTTCATAGATGCCCTTTGATGTATGAGCTAGAATTAAAGGGAGTAGATACGGAAAACTTCAAAGAGGAAGAGAATACCCTGCCCCATAACCCAAAGTGCCCTGTCTGCTGATCCTCGGCCGCTAGTCTTGTCATCTTGGATGTTCCATGGAGAAAAACACAGGGGGATTCACAATAATACTAAATCAGAAGTGTACAAAACCTACAGGCAGTATAGCTTGAAGCAGGTCTCATTTCGGAAGCCGATGGTAGATATCTGAAATCAGGAACCTAGCAGCAAAAACTGCAACGTGTGAGTTAGAGAGAAGTCAACTGAAACGAAGTCTAACAAAGCTAGCCTGCTTGTGGGGCAAATGGAGATCAGGTAGAGAATATAGCGGAAATAATTTATGGTAGGGTCTGATGCAGGGTTAATGGGAAGGCAGAGGAGGGGATTAAGTGGCTGACAAAAAAGGACAAGTGGGATTAACCTGCAACAAAATGCTGCAAGGTGGACCACTCATTCATTGTTTCATAATACCACATTCTATCACACCACCATCTAATGTTCTGTAGTCCCTGAGCAAATGCAGTACTCACTGAGTTGTTTTAGTGGTTTACCTGAGCATGCTGATACTTCCAATTTATTTCTCAGTAACCCATTTTTTGCTATATAGCCGTGATAGCCCAACATTTGTGTTCAATATCAGCCTAGATCAGGGACAAAGAACATGTGATCCTCTAGATATTGCTGGTCTACAAGTTCCATCATTCCTGGCCATTGATGAATTTTAACAGGGAGAAATGTAAAGTATTGCACTTGGGCAAAAAAAATGAGAGGCACAAATACAAGATGGGGGACACCTGGCTTGAGAGCAGTACATGTGAAAAGGATCTAGGAGTCTTGGTTGACCACAAACTTCACATGAGCCAACAGTGTGACGCGGCAGCTAAAAAGCCAATGCAATTCTGGGCTGCATCAATAGGAGTATAGCATCTAGATCAAGGGAAGTAATAGTGCCACTGTATTCTGCTCTGGTCAGACCTCACCTGGAGTACTGTGTCCAGTTCTGGGCACCACACTTCAAGAAGGACATTGACAAACTGGAACGTGTCCAGAGGAGGGCAACCAAAATGGTCAAAGGCCTGGAAACGATGCCTTATGAGGAACGGCTAAGAGAGCTGGGCATGTTTAGCCTGGAGAAGAGGAGGTTAAGGGGTGATATGATAGCCATGTTCAAATATATAAAAGGATGTCACATAGAGGAGGGAGAAAGGTTGTTTTCTGCTGCTCCAGAGAAGCGGACACGGAGCAATGGATCCAAACTACAAGAAAGAAGATTCCACCTAAACATTAGGAAGAACTTCCTGACAGTAAGAGCTGTTCGACAGTGGAATTTGCTGCCAAGGAGTGTGGTGGAGTCTCCTTCTTTGGAGGTCTTTAAGCAGAGGCTTGACAACCATATGTCAGGAGTGCTCTGATGGTGTTTCCTGCTTGGCAGGGGGTTGGACTCGATGGCCCTTGTGGTCTCTTCCAACTCTATGATTCTATGATTCTATGATTCTATGATTCTATGATTCTATGGTCAAGCTGATGCTGGCTGAGGCCAATGAGAATTAAGAGTTCCGTCTGGAGGCCACAGGTTCCCCCATCCCTGGGATAGATGATGAGGGGTGCTACAGAGCTGTGATTAAAAGACCGTTCCAGAGAGAAACAAAGATTTGTGGGAGAATTTTATAAAGCAGCCAAGGCTTCTAAGCTCTTTCTGACTAAGATCTCAGCTGTACAAATCAGATGCCAATCAATGAAATTAATGTGCTTTTTTGAGAGCTGAAAAGCACAACATAAAATCATAACAATGGAGGAAAAAGAGGAGGTGCAACACTGAAGGAATGTTGGCAGAAGACCTGCCAGGGATAGAATGCAAGTTAGCAAATGAAAGGTTGTTGTATAATCAAGGCATAATTGTTAACTCATCACTGTGCAGCCACAGGTCTGCTGGATGCTAGCAGTGCCAACAGCATCATTTATATCATGGTGGTGACATGCACCAGTGCTTGAAAATGAGCAAATATATGAACTGCCATTGGTAGAAAATTTGCAGTTGAGAGAGGTTTCTGCTTGCATGCTTGGAGATGTTGATATTTCCACAACAGCAGCATTTCAGGGAAGACACCTGGATTCAATGGAAGAAATTAGAGCGATCTACACTACAGAAACTGGTTTAATTTTCTCTCTCTTTAGGTACTCTTGGAAACTGTAGAATCATAGAATTGCAGAGTTGGAAGGGTCCCTGAGAGTCATCTTGTCCAACCTCCTGCAATGCAGGAATCTCAATTAAACATACATGACAGGTGGCCATCCAATCTCTGCTTTAAAAAATCCAATGAAGCAGAACCCACAACCTCCCAAGGGAGTCTGTTCCACTGTCAAATATCTCTTACTGTCAGAAAGTTCTTCCTGATGTCTAGTTGGAATCCCCTTTCTTGTAACTTGAAGCCATTGGTTCGAGTCCTACCTCCAGAGCAGGAGAAAAAAGATTGCTCTTATTTTCTTATTCTCTTATTCTCAGCATCTTCACCAAAATACAGTTTCCATAATTCTTTGCGGGGAGCTATGACCTTTCTGGTATTTAAGTTGATAGTTAGCTAAGTATACTTCCAGACTTCTTGAGGGAAGATGTATCTCAAGTTTTCTGCTTGAGAAAGGGGAAAGACTCGTTTGTTTTCCTTCACCAGGAAGCTGTTCGTTTTTTGTTCTTTGTGCAGAAGATTCTTTTGAATCTGCTGAGCGAAGCTTTGCTGCTTGTTCAGTTGTCCTTACTCATTTGAATAGGACTGGCCCAAAGATGAAAGTACTGCTATTTTGAGATCTATGATCAAGAAAGAAAGAAAGAAAGAAAGAAAGAAAGAAAGAAAGAAAGAAAGAAAGATCCTCTGCCACTTGTTACCCTGCTGTTTTTGTGTATGGCCCCTATAGGGAGCTTGGCATTAGAGAGCCCCCCACACCAAGTAGGACTGAGGTGCATGCTAGTAAATCCTCTTGCATTTGTCACATATAAGCAGGGAACGCTTTTCACTATGGGGCCATGATCCTAACTGGCATTGCCAGTGAACTAAATAATCATTCATCCATGTCTCTGGCTGTTCCTTTGTTTCTCTCATTAAATGTAGGAGCCTGTCTCCTCCTGCTGCTATTGTCCCTGTTTAATTAACTGTCATCCAACTGCACAAAAGGATCTGTCATAATAAAGCTACATTTAAAATTCACAGGTACTGTTTTAAACATGACAGAGATACAAATGCTAAATTTCATAAATGTAGCAAATTTAAGCAAGATAGTAATCGGAAAGATCAGAATATGCACAAAGGGAGCATCCATGCTTGTAATGAGGCCAAAGAATGAAATAGCCCAGTTGTCAATCCAAATATATATTTTTAAAGAAATCCCAATTATAATTAAATGTGGGAGAAAATAATAGACTATGAAATAATGGGAAATCATGCCATTAAAAAAGGATGCTGCAGAGAATTAGTGTGGTATAATGTTGGACAATGGCTGAAGAGGCCAATCCCAACCCAACCATGATGAAGCTTGCTGGGAGACCATGGACTGATCACTCTCTCTCAGTTTTGTTGTTGTGGGGATGACCATGTATGCAGCCACGAGCTGCTTGGAGGAAATGTGATAACAAAACTAAAATAAAGTCCTAGCAACAAAGCACTGTAAACAGACACCAGACAAATACATACAGTCAACAGTACTTTTTTCTCCAGCGCCAGCCAAACTGTACTAAACCTTGGAAAATTAGAGAAAAGATATGGTAAAGGAAACTAATCATTGGGTTGCAGTCAATGGTGGCTTTAGCTGATTCCCCTTAGCCACAAAGTCGTCTGTGGCACATTCTGTTCTGTTCCATCACAACCCTTGAGTCTTAGAATCTTAAGCAGGTAGGGAGATTGGCTAAAATTGGGTATCTAGACAGAGGCGGAGCTAGCTGCTCTGGCACCCAGAGCGGCACACATGCTGTGCACCCAGGGGGTAGAGCTAGCCACCCACGGAGAGCGGAGAGTGTCCCGGGTGTGTGCCGAGAGAGGCCCAAGGGGGTAACACAAGCAGCGAGCGGCCCAGGGGGGCGGCACAGCAATGTCCCCCCCCCTCAGGGATGACACCCAGGGCAAACAGCACCTACCGCACCCCCCTGGGACTTTCCTCCGCCAGTGTATCTAGATTTACAGAAGTATAAGTGCTTTCCGCTATGTTTAGCGAAAACTATGATTGGCTACAATCCGTTGCATGAACAAACCTGGAAGTACACTTAGAGAGTACATTCAATAAATAAATTCCAGCCGTTTGACAACACCCTTTCCAGTTGTGAGCAGAAACTGCCCGTTGAGTCCCTTATGTGCTCAGCTCAGGTGAGAGTGGAGCTGTGAGTAGACACCTGTCAATTGCCCCCACGAATCTGCCATGATTGCTGATGTGCTGACCTTACACTGATATGGGCTTTGTGAAATGTGAGCAAGCTTGAGAGAAATGCTGCTTAAGTCCTGTCAATTGCCACAGGTACTTGGGGGTGAATGCCCCGGAGAACCCAGGCTTGGAGGTAATCTAAATGCCACATTGACTATAGCAATAGTGAACCAATGTCCACATACTGTCCCGTTGAAATGCAATTTATTTCCTTTATTTTTCTTGGTCATTTCCCCCCTACATCAGAAGTTGTTCTATAAAAGTTAATTTACAATCTACTGTAATTCTAAGGTCCACTGGATTTTCACAGCATTCAGGTATTGCATGATCTCTTGAGACCCACTTTCTGCTTGGTCTGATGATTTTTCCAATGAAAACCTCACAATTGGTCCTTACTAGAACTAATGCCCAAGGACCATGCACAACCAAATAAGCTCCACTACAAATTACTATGTCCAAAAATATTGCTCATTGAGTTGTGCTACAAAAATAATCCCTCATGGCAGGCATTCCAGCCGATCATTTCTGTACATGTGAAGTATATGTGACAGCACAAAGCCCTCTGGAAAGCAATTCTATTAGCAACACTAGCACTGCAGACCATGCATCTCAGCAAAGAGATGCATTCTTCAGCAGAGAATAGAAGTTCTGGAGCAATGATCTGTTCCTCACACTTCTTGCCAATTTCATTAAGCATGCCCAGCACTTCAGAATATGATAGGCAGATGACAGTTCAAGAAATATTTATCCTGCAGTTATGAAGGTTTCAAACTCTCACCCTTGATGTAATCAGCTAAATGGTTTTTTGACTAAAGAACTAGTTAGCGGCCATTAATCCACAAAATTCCCACCTCGTACCTTTCTCTATCATTTATCCTCTACTTAATTATAGTGTTCTTTGTAACAAATCACTTTTATTGTATGAAGAGCCACTTAAGCTTGTCGTCATTCTTCACCTCCTACATGTCTGCAAATAATCTAAAAATGTTCTGTATGAAAAGGTAATTTATTTTTTAAATAAAATATCAAAATGGAAAGAATTTTTGTCATATGTATATAAAAACAGTATTCATTTAGAGTCAACAAGATCAGAGGAACTACTTTGTGCACATGTACTTCTGAAGTTTATTCATGATACCATGGATAGAACAAGCAAGCTCACAACAAATCACATGAAAGAAATTGCCAAGTCACCAAGCATTAGTAATCACACAAGTTGCATTGAAGTAATTAAACAATAATATGGTGTTCAATGGGAAAATTGTTAAAGAACTTTAAAAGGTAAAGGGACCCTTGACCATTAGGTCCAGTCGTGGCCGACTCTGGGGTTGCAGCGCTCATCTCGCTTTATTGGCCGAGGGAGCTGGCATACAGCTTCCGGGTCATGTGGCCAGCATGACTAAGCCGCTTCTGGCGAACCAGAGCAGCACACAGAAACACTGTTTACCTTCCTGCCAGAGCGGTACCTATTTATCTACTTGCACTTTGACGTGCTTTCGAACTGCTAGGTTGGCAGGAGCAGGGACTAAGCAACGGGAGCTCACCCTGTTGCGGGGATTCGAACCACCGACCTTCTGATCGGCAAGTCCTAGGCTAATAAATCAAGAAAATACAAGCCAATCTCCGAGAAATGCCAGGGTTTGGTTTCCTTGGAATGAGAGACAGCAGAGATTGTGGTGTATTTATTATAGATGGTTTATTTACACATATACACAGCCTAAGCCTACTACAGAAGGGCTCAAAGCATTCACATCCCAATAAGGTATTGCCTCTCTCATAGCCACAGCCTTAGATCCCAGCAGAAATCAGGCGTGGCTCTGTCTCTCAGCTGCCCAGCCTGCTTCTTGCTTCCACTTCTCACACACAACTCCACTCTGGCTTTTGTTTTTCTAACTAACAGACAGCAGAGGGAGGGAGACCCACCCATTTGTCCTCTGGCACAGTGCCACTTCCTATGTTATCTTAACGGCCCATAATTAGTGAGCCATTACCAGGAAACTTGCCTGAATATTGCAGCAATTGAATCCTGTTGGATGCAGGAATTAGAAGGGACTCAAGCATACAGTTTATCCCCACAACCCATAACACTATTTTTCTTGTATACAAATCAGCAGTGCTTTTTTTTCTGGGGGCATGAAGGTACACATACCCCTAAACATTTTGTGAATCTTTGTACTTTTGTCCATTTACTGTATTTATTTTTCCCAATTTGAACTATAAAATGGTGATTTTCTTGAGTCAAAATGAGAGTAACCCTAAACATTTTTAAGGAAAAAAGCACTGCAAATCAGAGATTTTCATAATATCCCAAAGCCCACTCCTTTTATGCAACAGTTTCTCCACTCCAAGACTACTAAACCTGTTTTTCACTCTCACCCTTTTAAAAATCAGATATACACACCATAAAAAGTAAAGGTTTAGAAAGTGAATGAAATAAGATTCATGTGGCAGTGTGTTTATTGGACATAAACAGAATCTGATTCCCACCCCCACCCTTTAACCTAATATCCCTTGATGGATTAGTGTTATAAAAGCAAACACTAGGAGGTAAATTTTCTGTTATAGATTATGGACAGCGTAAGTGTACACACCACATAGGTATACGAATCAACAGCTTAAGAAAGAATGAATCAGTAAATAAGCAAGAGATTGTGTGGTTCTTCTTATAACCCAAAAATAAATGAGAAGAATAATGAAGAATTTGTTATAAAGTTTGGATCCTAAGATAAGTAAACCAAAGAAAGTACACAAAGTAGGAAAGCTCACTTGCTGTCTCCTGTGCCCTCTGAAAGGTCTCTATGGCAGGGCAGGGGGCCTCCTAAACTATATGAGATAAGGGATGGAAGCCAGACACATCAAAGAAGCGTTTCAGTTAAATGTGTTATAAATTTAAACAACAATTACAAGCTACCATTCAATTTAATGAGTAAGCTTGCATTTCCCCTCAACTGGAAATCTGGTCGTGTCCAGGCTATACATTCAATTATATTCCAGCAAACATTAGCCATGGCACACCTTGTTGCTTAAGCCGCTTGTCCATCGTATTACCCAAAAAACATCATTTGACCCGCTCTAGATATCGCCACTCTATTGAATTGACTAATGATTGTGATGCTTTTGTCTCTCTTCCCAGTAGGTCTGAATATATCTCTTTAGCTGTTTCTCTCTTAGGAGTCCCTGGATTGGCTGTATGGAATCGTATGAACATTAATTCTTTAGCTTGTTCTGCAGCAAAAGCCCTGAATTTTACTTCACAAGCTCTTCACCTTTTGAATAAAGAACAGAGTGAACTCCACCATGGACTTTTATGAAATCGTGCTGCTATCACTATTTGCTCATGCTTCATCATTATGGCTGTGAACAAGTGAATGACATGTGTTGTTTCAATATTACTGATAATTCTAAAGCCATTCAAAAGCAAATCTCTCATTTGCAAAATCTTACACACCACATTAAACAGGACGTTGGATTTTCTGGCCTCTGGTATTCATTCACCCAGTGGCTGACCGGTTGGTTACCAAACTTGAATTGGCTTCGTAATCTCTTTCAATATGCCATTGTCATAATATGTATATTAATTTTGCTATGTTGCTTCATCCAATGCGTTCCTGGTCTCATAAGTCTTTTGTCTCGGCTTCTCTCTCCCCCTCAGCCACCCAATAAAATAATTGCTGCCTACTTTGCGAAGTGGCAGCACCAACAGTAAACATTAGGGGAGATGTGGGCAGCCTTATTTCGGGCATGCGCTGGCAAACCACGTATCCCGAAGTATTTTTGTCCCATTCTCCCTGAAATCACATAACAGCATCGGTGGGCAGACTTATTTCGGGCATGCGCTGGCATACCACGTATCCCAAAGTATTTTTGTCCCGTCTACCCTGGCAGACTTATTTCGGGCATGCGCTGGCATACCACGTATCCCAAAGTATTTTTGTCTTATTCACCCATAAATCATATAGTAACACCTCGCAAATAAGAAAAGAAAGGGGGAGATGCTGGGAAGTTTTTGCCGCTGCACATGAGTCTGAGAATGTTCTGATCAGTTCCCATTGAGTTCATGAAACAGTGTACCTTGACCTGTTCTTAACGCATTGTTGACCACATCTACGGACTGTGATTGTTATGTTCTTTCAAGTCATGATAATCAATCACTAGTTATAATTTAATTAGGAGGTTTCATGCCTGTCTAGTTCTGTGCTCCCTTTCCCAGCCTTTAATCTATTGGTGATTAATGCCTATATGTAACCTTTGCTTTGTATTTGTGTCAACCAATCAGCAACGAGCGCACCTGTGGCAATGTTGTAATATTCAATAAAAGAGTCTCCTCGGGACTTGCTCGGGAGATGCCTCTCACATGACACCTGCTACTCGTCTGTCGTTATTTCAACCCAACAAACAGGTAGAGAAAAATGGGACTCCACAGTACCATCTGGTGACACAATGTTATATTACACATACAACACATAAATTGCTTTTTCTTTACCAATCTAGCTGAGTCCAAAGTGTGGGGAGGCCTCCTGGGGGAGGGGAGGATTGCCCAAAGTTGTGCTATCTGATCCCATGACCACTAGCTTGTGGGGTATTACTGGGTTCCATCTGGTCTTTCGTGAATTTTAACATCTACATGAAAACTACTAGGAAGAAGAAGAGTTTGGATTTGATATCCCGCTTTATCGCTACCCGAAGGAGTCTCAAAGCGGCTAACATTCTCCTTTCCCTTCCTTCCCCACAACAAACACTCTGTGAGGTGAGTGGGGCTGAGAGACTTCAGAGAAGTGTGACTGGCCCAAGGTCACCCAGCAGCTGCATGTGGAGGAGCAGAGACGCGAACCTGGTTCCCCAGATTACGAATCTACTGCTCTTAACCACTACACCACACTGGCTCTCCAGAGGTCATCTGGAGGGTTTGGCTAATGTGTCATCTACAGGCATATAACTCCACATACCCTTCCCATCTACTAAATCCAGAGAGACAGTGGAGATGACAAACTAGTGCCTTAAGGCAGTTCGGGAATGGATCAGCGCAAATAAAATTAATTCAGATAACCCTGAGGTACAGTTGGTTGCTACTTTCAAAAAGGACATAGGGAAAATTTTGACATGCAAGTGCACACCCTACATTTAGTGTAAAGAGAAATTTGGTCCTTGGGCTACCTATAGATGTAATAAATAAATACATACGTATTAATAAGGATTACTTTACTAGCTCTGATCAATATCCATTTCATTTCCAACAGTAGCCTGGAAGATGCCTTTAAATGTTCACAAACAAACAAAAGTGATGTTTACACCTCGTCTGTCCTAATAATCTGGCAATTAGAGGTATTCACTATCTTTGGATATAATGTCAGTAACCATTAAGAGACCTATTCTCCTACATGATGGAATCCATTTTGAAATGTATCAAGGCTTTTAAAAAGCCTTTTAGGCTAGTGGCTTTCAGAGGTGAACTCCATAAGTTAATTATGTGCCATCTGAAGAAATGCATCCTTTTGCCTGTACTGAACCTGCTAGTTACCTCCCAAAAAACATTACGAGAATTTTTCACATATAAAACACTAAATGCATCAACGTCTGATGTGCCATTCATTTACCATGTGTGATCATGGTGCAAATGGAAAACAGGAGACATATATCTAACAATATCTATCTATCATCTATCTATACACACAAACAAACAAACAAACAAACACACAGTGCTGAAGATTGTTTGACCATTTGCATGACAAAAATTTGAAAAGCAAAAAAAAAAAGACCCCACTCCCATCCTTTGGAGATGGCTTCTCTGAGCTTCAGCTTTTCTGTTGTAGCCTTGACCTACTCCACTAGCCTGCTGTGAGAATAAAAATTCTGCACATTTAATGAGCTACACAAACAATAAATAGAGTAATCAAGGGATTCAGATTTAGACTGACTGGGCATTTTCCCAGTAATCTCCTCAGAAGACAAAGGAACTGACTGACAGTTTTTAAATATATAGGAATTTGTTCTTTTAGGAGGAGCATGGTGGAACTTTTGAATAATCATAATTTATTTTAAGTTTTAATCTGTCATTTTTCAGCTTCACAGTCTTTGGCAACTGGATCAGCATAGCACAAGGAGAAATGCCAAAAAACAATTTCAGTTGCTTGCCTATTCTCCAGCCCACCCTCTTCTTGACTACTCTACTTTCCTTAAAGCTATTAACAACCCATAAAAACAAATTGTGTTGCCTTTGGAGTGCTCGAAAAGAATAATTCTTATTAACATCTGCAAGATTATGGGTGCTTTCCCTTCCTTTTCCCAGTTCAGGCGTGACAGTTTAGGAAGGCTTGATTGTTTAGCTCTTAATAAATTGCTCTAAATGTCTCTGGAAATAGCTTAACGTTTCAAAACATAACAGAAATATCATGTAGCAACATAGTGTATATGAAGATAGATGAACATGAATGAAATGGGGAAACAGAGCAAAATATGGCATATTGGTTTTTACAGAGGATCAACTATTCATTTAAGACTTGCTCATGTAGGAATCAAGATGCAGCCAATAGTCCTCTTCCGAAAGACCCAGCATAGTGTGGTAAATTTGGACCAGAGAGGCTATTCTTCAAATCCTTTGTCTCCCGTGAAGCTCACCAGTTGGTCTTGGGCCAGTTACACTATTGACGTAAACTATCTTCACAACTTTGTTGTGAGTAGAAAATATGACAAACTCTTTTTGGCTAAAAGTATCTTTAGGCAAGCCTATGGAGACGTGTAGAAGCTGTCATATGTTTTAATCTGGTTTTAGCTTATTATTGGTTTTAATTTTTTTAATGTTTTAAATACTTGTTTCTAAGTGGTTTGTTCACTGATAATTGTATTGTTTTTATACTTTTCATAAATCACTTTGAGGTTTTATTACAATCAAGTGGCAGTCCTTGTAATATGCAAGTAGAGAATCAGTGGAGGCAAAAAGCAGGCACTCACTCCTATAATATTATTGCATTCATATCCTACCTTTTTCTCCATAAAGCTCAAAGTGACTGACACAGTTCTCCCCCTCTTCATTTAATCCCCACAATAACCCTGTGAGGTAGGTTAGAATGAGAGTGACTAGCCCAAGGTCACCCAGTGAGCTTTATGGCCAAGTGCAGATTTGAACCCGGGTCTCCCAGGTCCTAGTCCAACACTCTGACTACTACTCTATGCTGGTTCTCTCTTCCTACAAGGCAGAAGACCCCCACTGTTTCACATCAGATCTCTACAGAGGGGGCCTGTACATCCAACACTGCTTCAGCCAACTTCACAGCTTTCTCTGTTTGCAAATTCGAAACTACTGTGCCTCATTTGCCATCTGCCAATAGGCCCTGCAGGTGAAATATCCATAGTCATTAAAGAACACAAAGGTTCTTTTCTGTCAAATTCCCATCTGAAGTTATTTTAGGCAAAGGCAAAGCTATCATGGTACACATGGTAATCGAACAGCAAACGCACAACAATTTGTGTAACTCATTTCCCTGCTGGTCTGAAAGCTCATCCTCTTTTGCTAGCATGAAGAGATCAGCAACACTATTAAATTGTGTTTTTTCCTCCAACAGAGTTAAATATCCATTGTATTTAATTTTCTCTTTCATTACACATGCCACGTTATCCATTTAATACCAACACAAAAACAAATAGACAAGTGAAAGATTTGCTGATAACTTTCATTGGACAGAATTTTAGAATTACTTCTTCCTTGTGCTGCAGAAACTCACCTATTACAAATTATGGGGTAAGAAGGTGAGGGAACTTGAAGCCCTCCAGATGTTGTTGGAATACAACTCCCAGCATCCCTGACCACTGGCTGGGGCTGATAGGAATGAGTTCAACAGCCATGGGTTCCCCATCCCTGGGGATAAGCCACTGGCAGCCCATTATTTAGGTTTTTAGAGAACACAAAGAATGTAAAATGGCAAAGAAACACAAAAGCACACTGTTCTGACCTAGAGCATGTATTGAGCTAGGCATGTGTGAGGAACCTTTGGTCCTTCAGATGTTGCTAAACTACAACTCCCCTCAGCCCCAGCAAGCATGGGCAATGGCCGGGGATGATGGGAGATGCAGTTCAGCAATATATGGAGAATCAAAGGTTCCCCACACCTGCTCTAGGTAAGAGAATAGACAGGTCATTAACAGCTTGCTTCACAATAGGCCATACATAAGAGCGAAGAAACAGTGTGAGAGTAAACGGTCATGCTTCAACATCTCCATGACTGAACCGAAAGGACATTGCTATACAGTGGTACCTCGGGTTACATACGCTTCAGGTTACATATGCTTCAGGTTACAGACTCCGCTAACCCAGAAATAGTACCTAAGGTTAAGAACTTTGCTTCAGGATGAGAACAGAAATCGTGCTCCAGCGGCACGGCGGCAGCAGGAGGCCCCATTAGCTAAAGTGGTGCTTCAGGTTAAGTACAGTTTCAGGACCTCCGGAACGAATTAAGTACTTAACCCAAGGTACCACTGTATTGGCTATCTACTTCTGGCAAGACTTACCTGAAAACCAGCTCCAGGGCAAAATATGAGCCAAGATCAAAGAACAATAGGGCAGGCAATATAGTTTTAGGTGTTTTGATACTGCCTGAAGGCAACCGTGTTCCCTGACCCATTCAAAATGGAGGCAATTTTGGCCAATGCAGGTGCATGCTCAGATGATTAAATGCAACTCAGACAACACTATACTGTATATTTTCAACACCAGGTGACTCTTTTGTTACAGATGTACAAACCTCATTCAATCTCTTCAGAAAAACCCTTGCTAGAGTTCATCTGGACAGATAACTCAAACTTATCCCTAGTATTTACTACAGTTTAGCTGCCACCCATTCATCAAAAGCCCTTTAAAACATCAACAAACAGCAAACAGATTTTACAAACAGCATAGGTGATAGGACTCCATGGACTGATACATACAGAATCTGTAGCTGGAGCCAGAAATGCAGCACTAATGAGAAAAGCCAAAGAGCATGATAGATTTTCTCTGGACGTTTTCTTCTGAGCCAGCAAAACAGGCTTCAAAGTGGGATTGTTTTTGCCAATTTCTAGTTGGAGTAGGAAAAAATTGTCATTTAGACTAGCACCAGTGAAAGAATGCTATGGACTCAAAGCTTATGGCTTTGTTTTCTTTAAGTCATATCTCTGATCTCTTCTGTTCTTCTCCAAAAAGAAAAACTGATACGGCATCATTAAAAGCTGTGCCTGAGGTTTACAATTCTCACATGTCGAATACAAAGGAGCACAGGCCTCCCATTTGTAATCAAGTGAATAATCTGTGATCAAAAGAGGGGTTTTCACACATTCCTCCATGTACAATGAATTATGGCTGGCTCGAAAACTTCTCATGCATTTTCTTCACCCACTCTCCACCAATTACTGAGAAATTGCATTTGGAAATTTTATCCAAATGGAACAATAAAATGGGACCTATGGGTGGGGCACAGAGTTTTTGTTACCCTTTCCTTAATTTTGAGGTGGCTGATGGGTGGCTGCAAGTGCCCTTTCTTTCACTATACAAATAATCTCTCCAGTGATCTGTACTCAACCTTTCCAGATGTCCAGGGGAAAATATCATAAGGCAAATCCTCCCATGGGCCTTTTTCATATCAGGAAGTGTGGGCAGTCAGTGTTAAGAGATAGTTCCATTCCACCTTAAAAGGGTCAGGCATGACTGTTGTGTATCACATGCCTGTTTACTCCCAGCATTGTCTGCTGGGAACTTCCTTTGTATATAGCTTTTGTATTCTGGCTATTTTCCTGAACACGGAGGCGAGCAGTCATGTTTTTCCTTTGTTCTGAACACGTTGAATAGAGCTGTAAATACGCTCTCTCTCTGCCTGCATCTTTCGTTGTGGAGACACTCTGCTGAAAGTGTGTGCACGGGTCTTGGAACATCTCTGAGGCTCATGTCGCTAATTGACTGATTCTGTTCCATGGGAGACCAGTGATCGTCCGGAGATAACCTGGGGCCTGCCTGATGCCTCCGTCTCCCTGGCAGTATCCCAACAGTCGGAGAGGTTTAAGGGTGTCGGAAAATGTTTACAGGAAAGAAAAACACACACACCCTACTCTTGGCCACTTCAAAGATAAAATAACCTCAAAAGTCCACATTAGGGATATCAGGAAGCAGGTGGAAATAACTTGACCCTCATTAAGGAATGGACACTTGCTATTAATGCTTTCCCCCTTAGTTCTCTACAACAGATTTTTTTTTCTCTTCTAAAAAGGACATTGTTAGCATCCATCTGTTTCAAGAGACAATGGAAGAGTATGCCATCAGGGGTAAAATCAAACTGTTGGAGTGTTATAGTGCCTGCTGTGGCTGTAGAGACTGAAATGGAAGAGACAAGTTTTGTTGCAGCTGGGGCAGATGAAAGCATCCGGTTGTGCTGATGCAGATGTACCGTGGCATTTCTTCTCTCTGTGCACCTCCCAGTGGTCATTCCTCCTCTGGTCACTGCTGTGGAAACACAACTCAACTGTCTCCAGGCACTGCAGTCATCTGCAAGGGATTCCCACACAGAAGGTTAACTTTGCCAGTCTTGATGTCACATTTGTAGACATGTTTAAAAACACACATAAATTGCATCGGAATAGGGTTGCCATATGTCCGGAATTTCCCAGACATAGCAGGAATTCAGCTGTCGTAAACTACATCCGGTGCTTGGATGCATTCCAGTCCGGCTTCCGTGCTGGTCATGGGACCGAGATGGCTCTGGTCGCCCTAACAGATGATCTCCGCAGGCAGCTGGATCGAGGCGGGTCGGGGCTGCTGATTCTTCTAGACCTGTCAGCAGCCTTCGACATGGTCGATCACGAACTCCTGGACCACCGCCTTGCCGACGTGGGGATCCAGGGCACAGTCCTTCAATGGCTGCGCTCGTTTCTCTCTGGTCGGGGACAGAGGGTGGCGCTTGGGGGGGGAATTGTCATCGCGCCACTCCTTGGTGTGTGGAGTGCCTCAGGGTGCGATACTCTCCCCGATGCTTTTTAACATCTTTATGCGCCCCCTCGCCCAGCTTGTCCGGAGTTTTGGGCTGGGTTGCCATCAGTATGCCGATGACACCCAACTCTATCTGTTGATGGATGGCCATCCTGACTCGGCCCCAGACACACTGACCAGATGTTTGGAAGCTGTGGCTGGATGGTTACGTGGAAGCCGGTTGAAGTTAAAACCTTCGAAGACAGAGGTCCTCTGGCTGGGACGGGACGATATGGGATTGGGGGGGCACCTCCCATCTCGTGCGGGGGTGCAATTAGGGCCAGCACCGTCCGTTAAGAGTTTGGGTGTAATCTTCGAGACCTCCCTCTCTATGGAGGCGCCGATTACAGCTATAACAAATGCGGCATTTTTCATCTCCGCCAAGCTAAGCAGTTGGCCCCTTATCTCTCTCGCCCTGACCTAGCCACTGTGATCCACGCGACGGTCACCTCCAGACTGGATTATTGTAACTCGCTCTACGTGGGGCTGCCCTTGAGACTGACCCAGAAACTCCAGCGGGTGCAGAATGCCGCAGCGAGACTCCTTATGGGGTCTTCGCTGCGAGATCACATTCATCCGGTACTATACCAGCTGCACTGGCTCCCGGTGGAGTACAGGATCAGGTTTAAGGTGCTGGTTTTAACCTTTAAAGCCCTATACGGCCTAGGACCCTCGTACCTACGGGACCGCCTCTCCTGGTATGCCCCACAGAGGAACCTACGGTCTGCAAATAAAAACATCCTGAAGGTCCCAGGCCTCAGAGAGGTTAGGCTGGCCTCAACTAGAGCCAGGGCTTTCTCGGCTGCGGCTCCAATCTGGTGGAACGCTCTGTCACAAGAGACTAGGGCCCTGCGGGACCTGACATCTTTCCGCAAGGCCTGCAAGACAGAGTTGTTCCACCAGGCCTTTGGTCAGGGCCCAGCCTGACTCCCTCCTCTGGCAACCTGCACAGAATTTTGCTTAACGGTTGCCATTAATTTGATTTTAATTAATTTTTATAATGAAATGTTTTAGAATGTTGGATTATTTGATTGTTTGATTATTTGATTGTTGTTAGCTGCCCTGAGCCTGGCTTCGGCTGGGGAGGGCGGGATATAAATAAAATTTATTATTATTATTATTATTATTATTATTATTACTAGAAGTATCCTATATTTACCAAGGCTGCAATCCTAACTATGTCTCCTCAGAAATAAGTTCGATTGAGTTCAATGGGGGTTACTTCCAGGTAAGTGAGGTTAGGATTGCAGCCTTAATCTGCTTCCTACTGTGTGTTTTTAAAATAAATATAATAGAATGCATCAATTTTTATTGTTCTTTTCACATGAAAAGAAGTCATCACTTTTATTACCTTTGAGCCTCTTCATCAGAATGAGAACCATATAGATTTGACTGCTCAGTTTTAACCATCCATCTCCAAAGTAATTTAACCACCCATCTCCAAAGTAATTTAGAGATGAATTATCTTGAGCATTATGTTTTAGCAAACACACATATACAGTGGTACCTCTGGTTACGTACTTAATTCGTTCCGGAGGTCTGTTCTTAACCTGAAACTGTTCTTAACCTGAAGCACCACTTTAGCTAATGGGGCCTCCTGCTGCCACCGCGCCGTTGGAGCACGATTTCTGTTCTCATCCTGAAGCAAAGTTCATAACCTGAGGTACTATTTCTGGGTTAGCGGAGTCTGTAACCTGAAGCGGATATAACCCGAGGTACCACTGTATAACCATTTTATTTCTAAAATATTTTTTTATTTATTATTAAATTTGTATACCGCCCTTCATCCGAAGAGCTCAGAGTGGTTCACAGCATATGCATTTATGAAATAAAATATTAAAATAAAATGGCCTTTATATGTAGTTAAGTGGCATTACATGAGTGAAAGAGTAATTTATGCAACCCAGAACTCAAAGAACAAAATATCAGCAGGGTGCTAAACTGAGCTTCTCAGATGCCTGAGTGACAGGATTAAGTTAATACCGAACTGCAGAATCAAAATAGTGAGGTTTCAATCTCAAATTGAATACAGTGGGACCTACTTCTTAGTAGACATGGTTAGAATTGCAGCTACAGATGACTTTGTGATGGGTCACTAGCCACTTCATTAATTTTGTCTTTTCTTTAAGTAGCCACAAGACCCTTTTTTGGTTTTGCTGCAAAAGACTAAGCAAGCTTCTCCTCTGGAAATAATTGCAGTGGAATGAAAAATGCCAGAAAAAAGTGTGAATGAATGTTAGTATGGATTGCAGCTCATTTGTACATCCCCATCAAAATTCTGGAAAAACCTCTTTTGCAGAGAGCAGAAAACTTGCAAAAATTAGAGGGCAGATTTTGGCATCAACACACGCAATGAGAAGAGGAAAGTTGGGCAGAGGCAATAGTAATCTCCTATAATATTGTTTATTTACAGCATCTGGTTTATCATATATTATTACAGACAATAAGTATGCACAGGTATCCACGTTTCCTGCCAGAAACATCCTGTGGGGCTGTTATTAATACTTGTATTGGACCTGGTCCTGTCTGCAACACTGGGATGTGGGAAGAAAAAATATATTGAACTGCTAATTTATTTTGTTTCTTTACCACATTTCCATACTGCTCTGTAACAACATTGGCTGGAAAAATAGATTTCTGATTAATTAAATATTGCTTATTCTTAAATAAAAATCAGTCTCAACAAATATTGAGCACATCAGAAAGGGAGGGAAGGGGAAAGAACACGCAGATAATTCTTTGAAGAAAGGTACAAGAGGTCATTGATAGGTGCAGAGAATAAAAATCAGCAATTTATATGGAAAACCACTTTCTAGAGAATTCAAATACTTTGTGCTTCACTAGCATTTCTTTTCATTTCAACATAATCTTATAGCCCAGCACTTTCAATAAAAAAGAACAAAGAAGTCAAAAGACTGAAAGACTAAGTAAAGAAAGAGAACATTAAGATCAAGGGACAATCAATGAAAGAAACGTGATCATTAATTTATCTAATTGGACTGCGAGGGGGGGAGGAAGACAAGGTTGTCCCAAAATGGCGATTCCTTTGATTCAAGCATGCGGCTTTAACTTCCTTTAACTTTTTTCAATTTATTTTTGGATGATCTTATTAAATAGGCTTTGCAGTGTTAATCCAGACAATCATCACAACAAATCCAGCATCGTCTTCAGAGATTGGGGTGGGGGGTAGAAGAGAAGGGAGATTAGATGTCAGGAAAAATGAAGAATAAAATTTTACCATGTAATAACATGTATTCCTCAAGTAGGCATATATAAGGTATCATTTTGCATAACACATATATATACTGAAATATAAATAAAATAAAACATAAATAAAAATACGGATAAAAACCCATGTTTCAGTGTCCCACAAGAAAACATAACCGTGTTATGTCTCAGAAAGCCCCCATGTGTAGAGGGGTCAATGGGCAATACGATTGTTGTCAGAAATATTTCCGGACTGTTCATTTTTTGGAGCTTTGTCTCATACATATACACACACAGCAGACTTTGTCCGTATTTTATGTGAAGGCACAAACTGCTTATCAAACAAACTTCACTCAAACCCACTTTAATTTCTAAGAGAGATGTCTAAAGGGTAAAGGGGCTTCTTAAGGCACAGAAAATGCAACAACTATACTTTCAAAATAAGGGAAGGCTAGTCATTATTTTGTAAAAATGTTAACACACAACGGTGTTAGTTTCGCCCCCCTGAAAACTGAATTTGCTATGTAGATTATTACAGGGTGGTAAGGAGCACTGGAAATCTGATTCCACTCTTGTCGACCATCCAAATTTAACAATGAAAATATTTAAAACAAAAGGTACCCAATGATTATCCTGTAGTCTCAACAAGCTCTCTTCACTTGTTATGACTCTTATGACTCTTGTGCTTATTAATTCATTCCCCTGCATCACACATCCTTGCTGATCCCACTCCCAACATCCACACATGGCTAAGAGCTGCAGAAGGAAGATCTGCACATTCTGGGTTCTGAATCACTAGGAAGCCTTAATCTAAAGGGAGCTACTTGGTTGATTTGGCTAAATGCTTTTAAATGCCTCCCCATGATTGGTTAGTCTGCATTATCAGAGTTCCTGGTCTCAGTGTGTCTTCTAAGTGTGTTCTAGGATATCTTCCTCCCACTTAGCATAGGAAGGGTGGTGGTAGAGTGGATACACTTGGGCCATTGGAGACAAGGATGTCATATTTCAGGGTGAATATCTGAAGAGGATACCTACACCATAGATATGTGTGCATGTGATGTAATGTCTGAAAGGGCCTTGTGTATTTGACTTCCTGTGTGTGTCACACACATAGATATGAAGGAATTGCTTTAGATGTATATATAATGTGGGAAAACATTACTTTTTGATAGATTTATGATGAAGGCTAGAGAACATAATCTCCTAAGGGGTCAGCAAACTTTTTCAGCAGGGGGCCGGTCCACTGTCCCTCAGACCTTGTGGGGGGGCCTTGTGGGGGGCTTTTGGGGGGGGGGGATGAACGAATTCCTATGCCCCACAAATAACCCAGAGATGCATTTTAAATAAAAGTACACATTCTACTCATGTAAAAACACCAGGCAGGCCCCACAAATAATCCTGAGATGCATTTTAAATAAAAGGACACATTCTACTCATGCAAAAACACATTGATTCCTGGACCGTCCGTGGGCCCGATTTAGTAGGCGATTGGGCTGGATCCGGCCCCCGGGCATTAGTTTGCCTACCCATACCTTAATGCATCCACCTGCCATGCATAAACATGCATTCTGCAGATGTTGACATGACTGCATAGGTGGTGTTGGGCATGATGTCAGGTGCACGGCTAGCTAGTGTAGTCCCACCCCCATGTTCAGGGAACATGTGACCCCCAATGAGTGAAAGGGGCTATGACATATGGCTTGCTATGCGAAAAGGTGGCAATTCTAGACAATGATTGCATAAAGTAGCCGGCATAACAATTTTTTAAGACCACCAAAGTTTTGTCAGTCTCCACCAAAGTCATATTGCCGTTTTAATTAAGAAACAAGCTGACTGGTTTTTCCTTCTTCATAATTTCAGTGTAAAGAGACACTCAGTTAAACTAACAAGCTCTATATATTTTTAAATAACCAAAATATTGGTTTTGGCTTTAGGAAAGACAAGTCTGCTAAAGCCGATTTATGATTCTCACGTGGGTTTTCATAAATCAGGGTCAGATTTTGTTCAAACTCCAGAGTCACTTATTTATTCATATGCTATGGCTTTTTAATTATTGTATCCTAAATATATACCTGCTGCTAAACTGTTGGCATGGCTCCTTATCAAAGAACATGGCTGCAATCCTAATTGATTTCAATGGGACTGAGAATATGGTTTCGGGACTGAGGTCTGTTTCATTTATTGAGTAAAATGCTTCCCTCAAACGTCAAAAGCAAAGAGTTCAAATCCCTGTAAGAATTAACTGTTTTTAATTAAAAATACATCAAACATTGTGGAAGTTAACTAAATCACAACATTTTAAAACCTCCATTAGTTTAATCTTTCAAAAAGATCTGCCACCTAAAACAGTTTGTTTTCAGTATATAACCCTTAGGGATTAAAAAACAAACTAGCATCCTTAGGGATTTAAAAAAAAAATCTAGGAAGCTTCCTTTTAAATGCCTTTTAAAATTTTTTCCCATATATGGTCTTGTTACACTAGATAGTAAATAAATGTAAGAACAATACATTCCTTTTAGCAAAGTTGTTAAATATCTAATAACCTCAAAAACAAAACTTTTTTAAAATGCCAATTCTACTCCCCAGGAGAACAAAGGCCTAAAGCTGGAGTTCAAACAGGCCACAGACTTATTGCAAAAAAGCAATTTCCAACTGTTTGGCCTAGGAGGGCAAAGACACATTATGTTGGCAGCACAGGCGCTGCAGTACCACAAATTCTTATGCCGGAGGGATTGACATGCGAAAGGCCTGTGTTGCAGCTCCTTCCCACGCCAACTCTGTTGCACTTTCAGGAACAACAACACTGATGTTGGCAGGAAGAGCACTGTGGGCTTGGCATAAGGCCTCTCACATTACCCTGGCAATGCAGAGTGAAATGATGCTAGTGTTACTCCTACACTGGATGTCTAAGGTGAGAAGATCACTGATGTTTCATAGGTCTCCTGTTTACCCCTTCTTTATTTTCCAAAAACCGCACATCAAATACTAGTAAGTGCGATGATGACCCCAACTTTGATGATCCCAATGATGACAACCTATGTTGTTAACATGATCTCAGGAGAACATGAAATTTTGACTGGAGGAACAGCAAGGCAAAGGGGGTCAAACTCTTCAACTGCTAGTCGTTTCCTTCTACGTAAATTATCACCCTGGCTCATCTCTGACACCTTCCTACTTATTTAAGGGTTTATAAACCGTGTCACAAGAAAATGTTTCCAAAGTGTTGTGCAAGCAGAGCCGATGGCTTAGTGCTAACATTTGTGTGCTTTAACTGACGCCACAGACAGGAATGTTACCTAGAACAGCACATGCTTCCTGCTCCAACTTGGAAACTTGAAATGGTGAGGAATTTATTCAGTCATGAGACTAAATCTTCAAAAGGAGGCATTAGACAATCATTGTCTTGTGGTAAAATGTTCCTTTCTAGTTGTTGGTTGTTTTTTTTAAGTGCACTTGTGATGAAATAGATATTTAACCACCTTCTGGAAAATGATTTGTAAGGCAAGATGAGTGAGTTTTACTGCTGATTGCTTCTGATTTACTGCTAAGACTCCCCATTACATTGAATTATAGAATTCTATAGTTGGAAGGGACCATGAGGGTCAATGAAATACTTGTGAAACCTTCAAGCATCGTGCACTCTGATCCTACACGAATTACAAGGAAGTTCCACTGAAGACAGTACCATATAATTCCACAACAGCTACAATTCAGTGATAAGGCTACTTTTCACTTGCTGGCATTCTCCTGACAAATAAAACCTGCTGGGATGTGCCAGTTGGCAAGAACCTGCTGTGTCAAAAGAGTAGGTAGCATGTTGCCTGGACCATAAGCACATGCTATTGTCCACCTGGTTGACTTTTGGGTAAATATAATGTAAAACAAAGTAAAAAGGTAAACACTAAAATGTTTCGGACAGCACCCTTTCTCTTCCAGAAGTTACATTTAATATTACTTTTCAGACCCAGAAAAAGTTGTATTAACTCATCTCCGCTCTTGCAATTCTAATCGTATGAGTGAGGGGACAACTGGGGTTTACTCATTTACCCCACACTCCCTGTTGCATTCTCAGTGATCTCTCTCTCTCACCTTCATGTTTGGGATAAACTTTCAGAGCAAAGAGTTTGCTGTACTCATGTAGGTGCCCCCCACAATTTAGAACCCAGCATGGTCACAAGTACAGAAGTATATCCCAAACAGATAGAAGACTGCAGAGATGGGCTACTGGTGATGTGACAGAGAGGGCAGGGGCAACAAGCCCACCCCAGCTGTCTCCCCACTCATATGAATTATGTGACAGGAGCAAGTCTCAAGTGAATTACACTAAGGTCTCTGTGATAAGCTTGTCAAGTCTCCACATCTAATCACTGACCACTGGAAGCAGCCCACCTGTAAAACAAGTGATGGTCCCAGCATAGCACATCACTGAATAGGCATAACTTGTAGGCCAGTTTAATGCCACTGCAGCTTGAAATAGCAAAATTATAGCATCACAAGCTACAGATCTGAGTGGTGAGTAGCTAGCTATACATTGAAATATTCATGGTGAGTTCTGGCACCTCTTTTTCGATAAAAATAAAGAGAAAGACCTTGTTGGATGGGTTTTGTTTGTAGCTGATTTTAAATCTCTGTGCCAATGTTGTGTGTACAAGTCAGAAGTCTGTCCTGACTGCTGAAATTTCTTGAGTGAAGGCACACACAGAAATACAGTTGTGTCCCTTTGTTTACAATTGAAGCAATGTTTTCCTCAGGACATTTGTAGCTCAAATTTGCCACTACTGTATACTGCACAGTTCATAAAGGGATAAATGTTGTACTGAAAATGATGTAGAGTACTGTGGAAATCCAAAGCCATCACTACAATGACTTTCAGGCTCCAGCTAGCATTCTTTAAGGCTTGTAACGATGTTTAATATTGAGTACAATTTCATTTTCAGATGCTGAAAGCTTAACTCACCACCTCACATTGCTATTTTTAAAAACCACACACTGTTATTCAGCTAAATTTGCATCAGTAGAGAAAAAATTGGCACTTTGTAAGAATTCAGGGCCAATTTTATGAAATTATTTTGGAGGGGGGAAATCCATTTGACTTCCACTGCTTCAGAAAATAAAAGGAAGATTAATAACGTTGCCCTTCTTTAACCTTTCTTGCCAGCAGGATTATACAGACTTAAGCTGTAACTGACCATAATCATCTTAAGCCACACATACCTATATTAGGTGCACTGCTTGGTGCTAATGCTTTTTCTTTTTTCCTGTCCTTTGATTGCCTAACCCATGTTCTGACCACTGCAGCTAGTTTCTGATCTAGGATTAATCAGAAATCCTGGTTAGCTGTAACTGTGGTTTTGTATCAATGCCAATGTAATGGTTAACCCTGGTTAAGCTCAGCCAGGGAAGGGTGGAAGCTTGTGCTCCAGGAAAAGGCTATGGAGGGAAAAGGAATGTATGTCATAACTTACTTCTGATTGCTTAACCATGGTTAATAAACCAGGTGGGTTAAGCAAGCAACATCATTACACCTGTATTTCTCTGTTCCTCTCTTTCCAGTTATAGGCCACTACCATATGAAGACCAGTTTGTTAATCAGTGAGGTAGACTTTGAAAAGCAGCTGAAGGAGGAATCTGTTAGGAAACCTTGCACAGGGTTTTTTGCAACAAAAGAGAGAAAATACTGGGAACATATTGGGCATCTTATCAGTCCTTGGATAAGTAATTTAGTAGGGATGGCTTTTCAAAGTTAATCAGTACCCTTTAAATAGGTGTGCATTTCAAACACACCCTCATGGGTGCAATATGTATGATGCCAGGTCCTCCCATTTCCCCTAACTTCTTCAAAATATGCATTATGCTTAATGTCACCTACTGGTGTACTTGCTGAAACCATTATACCACTGTTTTGAAAGCAACACTGTTTTGAAAGCAACACAGAGTTTCATGGTTTCCATACAGCAAGAGGGCATGTATTACTTTCACAATGTGAAAATATGTCATGTTCTGGAAAAACAGAACTATCCTTATGAAACTAAGGCGTGAAAATCAACAGTGTGTTTAACAAATAGAGCACCTTCATTAAAGGTAATATTGAACATGCTATTAGCATTAGTCGGGAAGAAAGTCAGTGATGCAGCCAGATTGTACTCCCTATGATGGCAAGTCCCCTGATACAACTTTTTCTGAAGTAACTACTTGGACAATGGATTCTCCACATTTCCACATCAATTTGAGTTTGTTTGTTTTTTAAGCCTTCATGAAAATTCATCAATATTTTATGGGGCATGTATCCTAATATACTCATGTGTATGCACTTTTTTTGCAACACAGTTTCCCCTAATTCATTTTTGTATGTTATTTTCAGTAGCATATGCATTGATATGCATACTGTACCCTAGTATATACCTTTTTGTACACATTAATTGGCTGGAGAACTGCATTGCAAAATTCAGAGATTTTGAAGAATGACTACTTTTCAGTTCAGAAACTGCATATTAGGCAGAATCATCTTTAAATGTGAACTGGGTTGAATTTCTCTTCCTTGGAACAAACAGGGACGAGTGGCTTTTTCTATTTTATGCACCTCCCCAAATTGAAAATAACAATAGCTATACAGTGGTACCTTGGGTTAAGAACTTAATTCATTCTGGAGGTCCGTTCTTAACCTGAAACTGTTCTTAACCTGAAGCACCATTTTAGCAAATGGGGCCTCCTGCTGCCGCCACGCCGCCGGAGCACGATTTCTGTTCTCATCCTGAAGCAAAGTTCTTAACCCGAGGTACTATTTCTGGGTTAGCGGGGTCTGTAACCTGAAGCGTCTGTGACCCTAGGTACAGTGGTGCCCCGCAAGACGAATGCCTCGCAAGACGGAAAACTCGCTAGACGAAAGAGTTTTCCGTTTTGGAGGTGCTTCGCAAAACGAATCTGCTATGGGCTTGCTTCGAAAATGTCTTGCGAGTTCCTGCGTTTTTTTTTCCTTTCCCCCCTCTTTTTCTAAGTCGCTAAGCCGCTTATCTGCTTATCCGATAAGCTGATAAGCTGCTAAAAGCCGCTAAAAGCCGCTAAAAGCCGCTAAAAGCCGCTAATCCGCTAATCCGTCAATGGGCTTGCTTCGCAAGACGAAAAAACCGCTAGACGAAGAGACTCCCAGAACGGATTCTTTTCGTCTTGCGAGGCACCACTGTACCACTGTAGTCTAATATGAAATACAGATTAAACCAGATAATTTAGCTTCAACAAGAGCACATAAGAAGCATTCTGCTTGATCAGGCCCATCTGGTCCAACAGCAGCCAACCAGATGAATGCCTGTGCAAAACCCAGAAGTGGGAGCTGAGCATAACAGCCCTCTCCCCACTCTCCAATACCAGCAACTGGTATTGAGAGGTATTTTGTAAGGTGCTTTATCTTTCAGGGAGAAGCGAGAGGTAGAAGAGAAGAACACCCAGTAATAAAACCAATACATTTGGCTGACCAGAATAATAATGGGATTCCACAGGACGCCTCTATCTCCTCAATCACTTTTAATCACTTTAAAGTACTGTAATCTGCCTTTTCTTATTTCCCATATTTTTCTACATGGTTCAATGAGGAGTTAAGCAGGTGCTATGTATTAATGATGCACCACCTTTTATGTGGAATAGAGATCTGAATCTTGCTTTCACACATCCATCCCCAGCACTCCACTGAGTTTCCACGCAGAGCTACTCAAAGAGGACCACTTAGTATTGTGGACAGTACCTTCGGAGTAGAGGGTTCATAAATTGCATTCCTACTGCTACTTTTATAACTGGGATACTCAGAAGTAAGTCCAAGGAGGTTTACTTTCTAGTAATCATGCTTAAGGAGCACAGCTAATACTTCATTTTACTGCTGGCAAACAAAATGGTGGATGGGCTGGCCAGCTGAAAAGCGGGAGGGAGCTTTCGTTGGGCAAGCAACACCTGATGAAATTCCTTCTTCTACACAACTATTCAGCGTGTGGGAGCTCCTGCCTTCCTCCGAGTTTTCAAAATGTGCAAATTTCAGAGTTGTAAAGTTTCCCACTGTACTTTCAGAAAGCTATGCATAATTAATAATATACTGCCAGAAAAGTGATTGCGGAGGAAAATGTAGGGTGCAATTTGCGGATGAATAACTATTACACAGCAAATTCTTCAGGACTAGCACCGGCTTCTAATGAATGTGAAATGCCTAGAAAAATTGTACTTAATAAACAGATGTAAGTGGCAATCCAATGCAAAATCGAGGGATGCCATAGCAATCTGCCAGGTTCAATTTCCAGTGAGGGTATTGTTTTTTTCCACTGGGAGAAGACAATTATCCTGAACCTCCCTTATGTCCAATTCCATCCAATTTACTTTCCATCAAGGAGGGGGGGGGGAATCTTTACCTTACACTGGCTTGGTTGGTACAAAGGAAAAAGGGGGCTGAATAAATATAAAGGCTTCAAGACAGATTTTCCTTTCTGAAATATAAAAGTAGTCTGGGAGAAAGTCCATGATGGTTCTATTATGTTTCTCCACAGAAATGTAATCATCCCTAACAAAGACTTTATACCAGACTACAGCAATACATAGTCTTTAGGGGTTTTGGGGTTGTTGTTTTTTTGGTGAATGTGTGTATGGGAAAATATTTCAGTGCAGATTTTTAAAAAAGGCTTACTTTAGCACCACCTGTGACTGAGATCAGAAAATTAGCTATTGAAAGAGAAAATGTGGGCTTTAATGGTATTTGTTGTGCATTCAGCAATGATATTAGCTTCAACATCATGTTCCTGGTATGACATGATTATCCAATTGTTTTAAAAGCATCTTTCAAATTCAGTTTCTAAAAGCCAAGCATTTTATGGGTCAGAAGCAGACCTCTTTTTAAAAACAAACCACTTTGCTGAACCAAGGATTGATTAGGTTCACAAATTAGGCTGTGCAGCAGAGGAAGCTGCACAATTCATCTTTAAAAACCAACATCCTATTTAAATGCATTTCCATCTCTGGCCCCGACACAGCTCTTATTTCTCTTTGTAGCCCTTGTTATGGACAGACCAGAGAAGAGAAAAACTAATAAATCCTAAGCCTGTTTATTCAGAAGTTTAACTGGGTTCAATGGAGTCCTTACACCTAAGTGTGCATAAGCTAGAATTGCAACCTACATCTTGCTCCTGATTCCTTTCCAACATTTGGTGAGCATTACCATTGATCTGTGGTAGGTCCTACGTGCGCAGAGCCTAGGCTTCTACATAGAACCAGGCAGTGCTTTTCTTGGGGGACGCAGGGGATCGCACACCCCTAAACATTTTGTGAATGTAAGTTTGGCCTCATTGAGCGGCAGTATTTCAATATGAGTAGGAAAATGAGCGTACCCCTAAAAATCATTTTTTTAAAAGAAAAAAAGCACTGGAACCAGGACTTGTGTTCAGCACAGAGGGGCAAATGTCAACAGCAGAGGACTCTTGCACTTTATTAATGCTGTGCTGAAACTTGCCCTCCAGTTTCTTGGAAGTTGTATTTACCTGCAAAAGAAGCTTCCATTTTCCTACTTCGTTCACAAAGCCCTTTGGAATTTCAATGAGTTCAGGGTTGAGATGGCCTTATCGTTATGAGATAGATGGCCAAAAGCTGGTACACATTGCTTTCTTTGCAGTAAACACTGTCCGTGGCAGCCACGTTCTTAATTAGGCTCTCTGACCTCTAGAATATAAAAACACCCCCCCCCACACACATTTTCACTTGTTTATAAGTCTGAGAAATTTTCTGTCATTGGCCACCACAGGAGATGCAGAAACAATCCGCTGTCTCTACACCACAGCCAGTTACAAATCACTTTGCAGAGCAGTTCCTGCCCCCATCATTTGGGGGGGGGGGCCTGTTTTAAAAAGCAAAGTAACAATGCTGGCATATAAAGCTAGGAAAGGGTTAAGCAGAATGTTATCAGCTGCACCTGGCAATCAGAAGAGTCCCTCATGGCCTGTTAAGAAACTTCAGAGCATAGGCTGCAGTTCTCAATATCTGTTTACCAATCCAGTACTGTATATGTATTTTCACGTGGGCCAACCACATGCATGCATTTGCAATACCTTGCTCTTCTGAATCGGTATCGATCAATCAGTTTGTTCCCTCGCTTTTAGAGCAAACAGGCTACCAAACCAGCAACGGTGAGTCTATTTATTTTCTCATATATATATTATATGTAGGTTTTATTTTCTACAGCGGAGTGGAGAAGGAAAGAGACTGAAAGGTTAGGAAAGCCTGAGGCAAGGATATTCCCTTTGTTCTCCATGCGTGCAACCTTAGAAGAAGATGCAAAAAGTAAGCAACCAAGTATTATTTGTAAAAGGGGCTGGGAATGGTTCTGTTAGTTTTCTGCAGAAAGAGTATGTCTCTTTGTGTGTAAGTAACTGGAGTATGGTCAATCTTTCCAGCATGGAGCTGTGTAATCAATAGTAATGTTTCTCAGAATGTAGGCCAAGACTGTAGGCCAAGCCCCTTTCAGGTAGGCCACAGTGCCTGCCCCAACCCTTACCTGGGCCTCAGATTTTTGATGCTCCACTGTCAACACCACAAGTCTTAGCTGAGCAAAGGTGGCCAGGAAACGGAGAAGTTTCAGTAGGGATGTTGGAAAGAAAGGTTTCCCTCCTTTGAAGCAAAAGGGCCACAGGAAAGGTTGAAGGAAAGTAAAAACCGAGCTATAAATTTAATGAACTATTTTGTTGGTTAAACTCGGAATAGAAAATAAAAATAAGAGAAATAATGTGTTGTAGGAGGAAGTGAATGTGAATGTTGCAAGGTGACTGTGAAAAGAGAACTGGAGAAGAATGCTTTGTGATACATGCAGGATTGGGAAGAGAACAAGGGAAAGCAAATTTTAGAATTAGTGGATCAGCTGTGCAAAAGGGAGAGGCTGACTTATATTGCCTCCCCTGTAGTTGAACTATGGAGCAACTTGCCGGAAGGAAAAGGCTTTGGCCGTCTGCAACAATGGATTGAATATCAGTAGAAAGTTATATTAGTAATCATCTGTTGATTATGTGGGATGCTTGTCTGCATCTGCCACCATTTTGTGACTTCTGGCCCTCAGTAATTTTCAGCTCTCTTAAATGGGCCCTGTGGGTAGAAAGTTTGAGACCCATAACAAGAGTTTGTATGCATAGGGACTGCGTTTCTTTGGGTGTTGTGAGCTTTATACCTTTCTTCTTAGTTTCTCTGACATGTGAAAAACAACCACTACCACCAGCTAATGAAGGCTGCATTTCAGTGTTTTGAATTTAATCCCCTGCATATTTACTTTGAACAAAGCTCAGTGTGTTCAATAGCCCTCACTCCAAAAAGTGGTGTGTGTGTGTTTTATACCCAGACCACACTAAGGATTCGGCTACATTGGCAAAGAAAAAGCACTTTATATGCATTGAATAATAAGGGACGCGGGTGGCGCTGTGGGTAAAACCTCAGCGCCTAGGACTTGCCGATCGCATGGTCGGCGGTTCGAATCCCCGCGGTGGGGTGCGTTCCCATTGTTTGGTCCCAGCGCCTTCCAACCTAGCAGTTTGAAAGCACCCCCGGGTGCAAGTAGATAAATAGGGACCGCTTACCAGCGGGAAGGTAAACGGCGTTCCGTGTGCTGCTCTGGTGCCGGTTCGCCGGAGCAGCTTCGTCACGCTGGCCACGTGACCCGGAAGTGTCTGCGGACAGCGCTGGCTCCTATAGAGTGAGATGAGCACACAACCCTAGAGTCTGTCAAGACTGGCCCGTACAGGCAGGGGTACCTTTACCTTTACCTTTTTATGCATTGAATATGCATTATAACACTGTGACACCAGATGGCGTTGTGGAGTTCTGTTTTTGCCAATCCAATTTCTCATACAAAGTTTACAACTCGTTAAACTGAAACACTTCTTTGATGTGTCTACATCTAGCCTAAGCAAGGGTTTCTGCCTAGCCTACTTCAGAGTTGGAGCAAAGCTGGTAAGTGATGTGATTAATGACCATTTTTATAACTGGAGACAAGCAGTACAGTGGTACCTTGGGTTACATACGCTTCTGGTTACAGACGCTTCAGGTTACAGACTCCACTAACCCAGAAATAGTACCTCGGGTTAAGAACTTCAGGATGAGAACAGAAATCGCATGGCAGCGGTGGCAGCGGGAGGGCCCATTAGCTAAAGTGGTACCTCAGGTTAAGAACAGATCTCCGGAACGAATTACGTACTTAACCCAAGGTACCACTGTATATTTCAGTAGTAAGTGGCAGAAGTCTGCAGTGGGGCAAAGATCTCCAGCCCTGGCAAGATGAAAGTATACTCACTTTCTCCTGTTGTTACTGCTTTTCTTACCTCTTCAGACTACTCTAAAGGAAGTCATTCAAAAACATGGCCAAGACCTAGATTTGGTTATGACTTTACACTTAGAAAATGTAGTTGCTTATAACAGGGCAGGGCAGAAGAAAAGCAAGCTGTGAGTATGGGGTGGGCCCACTTTTTATTTCTCTGGTGAGGCCCCTATGTGCAGTTGTGTAACAGATGGAACAGTTATAACCTTTATCAGTATAAAGATGTGATGGCAGGGATACTATTCTTCTTGGTTCCAACACTGTTGGCCTGCTGTTAGTCCTATTGTGGGAGAAGAATGTAAATGCTGTAGTCTAGTTGCTTTGGATTTTAAACTGAATATATTACTCACCAGCACTTGCTTTACCTCTACATTTTCTGTTGCCAAATACAATATTAAAAAACAGGCAAAGCCTAACCTGCCCATGATTTCTTACTAGCCTGGGATACACACACATTAGGTTGCTAACTGGCTCTTCCAAGCTGGATTGAGTCGCTGATTTCCAAACTAAGACTGCCTACTTTGCTTGGATAGTCAGCCAGGAACCAACACAAGACATTGCTGCCACTAGCAGAGATGCTGTTTTGGAAACTTTTCAGTAATGGTTTACTATACTACCATCTTCTTTCTGCCAGCAAGCCCCATGATAAGTTCAACCTGGAAAAAGTTTCTTCTATTATTTATGAAAATGTATTTACCCTGAAACTTCCACTCCTATGAGATGTGTAGGGCAACTAAAAAATTAGGTACAAAGTGATCAATCCATTAAAACAGTTAAAAACACCATTGATCACTACCAGCAGCAGAAACAAAAACAAAAAAGCCAGTCAGATCAACAAACTGGGGTAGTCATATTAGTGTTTCCAGATAATGTCTGTCTCCACAAAAATGGCCTGCTCCTGAAAGGCCCCCCAAAATTGTGGTATGCAGGATCTCCCAGAGCAGAGCATCTGGACCACCACAGTTGTGTAGGTTTTGTTCCACACTCTCACTCTCCACAATCTGGGTAGCACTGATAAGAAGGCCTTATTCAAAATCCATACCCTCCACACCCAGCAGGGTAGTAGACTGTGGAACAAACTACCCTGCAATTGCCATGGGGTGGAGTGGGGCAGATTCTTGCGGAAGCACATGGTATTTTTACACAGCTGCTGTGGCTAGGAAGCCTATGTGAAAAAGAGGACAGGACTCATGCACGTTGAATAGTTCTGTAGAGGAGGGGATTTCAGCAGATGGCAAGCTGCACCTGGTGAAATTTCCCTTTCTGCTCAACTATTAAATGCTCTTGAGTCCTGCCCTTCTTTTCACATAGCCACCCTAATCAAAGCCCAGTTGTCTGACCACATCTGGTCAAGAAGCATTCTTGTGACCTAAGAAAAATGGAGAAGCATGTATCAATCACTCCCCGAAGAAGCAGAACCACCACAGACACAGAAATAGGACAGACTTTGAAAAGCACTAATCATGTTCTTCAATCAATGCTTTAATTGCTCTTTATTTGTATTTGGCTTCTCCTGCCTAACAGGCAGCATTCGCTTCAGCCTAACAAAAGGGCTGTGCTCTAGAGAATGTCTGAAGCCATCATTCAAAAATCAGTGAAGAACATTGAGTTTTGGGATTAGAAGGGTCGGAGTGAAAAATGATTGATCCCTTGCAGCTCTCCTGGGAGTGTCCATGTTGCCGTAAACAAGATAAAAGAAAGTTTATCCCTGCAGAATCACATTTAAGGAAAAAATTGATTTCTGAACAAACTAGATTAACAGGAAAATCATTATCAGTAACTTAGATAAGTTGCAAACACCATTAACTTGAATGGTTTTTTTAAAAGCTCACCTGAACTTTCACCACTTCCTGCCATACCCTTAATTAATCTTCTCTCCTGTAAGCATTGCTGGAAATTTAATTTGGAGAGGGATATGATGAAGCTTATGCAGCATTTGCACTCTACACATTTTTTTCCTCTTGGACAGATTTTATGGCAAACCAGTTCTGCTTTGCTGACTGGTTCATTGTCATAATGAAAGTGATAGGATGGTGGGTGAGATAAGGGAGCTTCATTACCCTCTGCCAATCCCGGCTGCACTGTTACACTAATCTTACAGAGGTTGTAGAAAAGTGGCATGGCTTTACTGAATACCTGTGAATTTAAGTAAAAGATCCTGGATAGTCAATTTGTGCCTTGCAAATGTTGGTGGACTCTCATTAGCCCCAATCAACCAGCATGGCCAGTAGGAACACAGGAAGCCACCTTAGACTGAATCAGACCTTTTGTCTCTCCAGTTTCCCTTCACACATCCCTGACCAGCCCGCCTGCATTGCTTCTGACTATATTATCTATATTTTAATCTGGTGACTGTCGTTTTGGCCTCTTGTTTCAGTGCCACTTTTCCTTGCTAAAATCTCCCTCCCTTGCTCCATCTCCCTCAATTTATTTCTCTCTCTCTCTTTTTTTTAAAAATAATATTTATTAAAAGTTTCAGATTTACAGAAAAAAAAGAAAAAATAGGAAACAACACTACAATACATAAAAAAGAAGGGGGGAAAAAACCAAAGCATAGAAACCAATACAACAATACAGCAAAAAGATAAAAAAACAAACAAAAAAAGACACAAATCCCATGTTACATATCTTTAACTTCCATTTGCTTGTTTCATTGACCTCCTCACACCTCCCTTTTTGTATTCTAGTTTAATTAGTTATTTCAGCAAATTCTTTCCATCTTTCTCAGTTTTTATTAAATAATTTATCTTAACAATTTAACCTATTAATTAACTCAACAAATCCTTTCCATCTTTCCCCATATTCTGTTATTCAAATTGCCTTAATTTATTTAACCTTATCTTACCGTAAAATACCTTAGAGCTTGAAACATTAATACTCAATTATACATAACTCCTTATATCATTTCTACTAAAGCCATATAGTTTCATTCCAACATTTTCCCTAATATTCATTAATTTTAAGCTAATTCCCTAAATAAAAATTTTTCTTTATAAATTTTCTTCCAATCTTCATCCAGCGTCTCTTCTTCCTGGTCTCGGGTCATGTCAGTCCTTACTGTCCATTCCATCTAGTCCATCAACCCGGTAATCTTATATCCGAGGCTCTTAAGTCTCTTCCATGTCCCTTCTGCAGATCTTCTTCTTCTTGTTTATACCTGCACTTTTCCTTGTCTTTTGTTGGTCTCTTTCTTAATTTCTTTCCTTTCTCATTGAGGAGTAGGTCTCTGGGAGGTTCCAGCCCAAGATTATCTCCGTCTCCCTTCATCAAACCAGCCCATTCCCCACAGTCCCACTCCCCACAGTCATCAATGTAATCCAAAAAATATTTAAGAGCATATTTCAAAGTCCCTCCGAAGTTAAGAACCTCCTCAGCTCCAGACTCCCCCTGGCCCACTCCAACTTCAATCTTCAAAGACAGCGGCTTATGCTCCTGCAGGGCCTCGGATCTCTCCATTTGTATTATTTGAGGTGCAACCGCAACCTCCTCCATTATCTTCTGCACTTGCCCCATCAATACAGGTTCCTGAGTTGGTCCCTGAATGGTTTCTGTATCAATATTCCCTGTTTGTCCACAGTTATTGACCACAACAGTCATCAAATCCGTTTTCTCATTCATCAGATCCATCTTCTCATGCATCTGTTCCAACAAAGCACTTGTCTTGCATAAAGCAAGCACCAAAACTTCCTCCCAGCTCATTTTTATTCGAGGTCAAAAGGACTGGTCCCACGATCTTAATCTCACAGCTGTAGAGTCCTCAAGTAGACTGCAGCAACAATTTAACAAGCTCCCTCTAGAGGAGACAATTTCTATTTGTATCCATCTTTTTAAGGCAAGTCCAACAAAGGAAAATTACTTTCATTTTTCAGATATTTTGTTTCTTTAGAATGCAAAAGGCAACATTGGAATCAGTTTATTTCTCTTCTTTAGCTATCTGTCAAAGTATTCCATTCACAGTCAGTGAACCTCTCCAACAATTTCTGTCTCTGACCCCCCGTTCCCAGGTTTGAGACGGTGGAAACTTATCTTTCTTCACTCCCTCTCCTGCAGGCTTAAACAAAGATTCCCCCCCCCCCCTTTTCTCCTGCTTCCAAGTTTTAGTGGTTATAAATGAAGGAAATTTAGACTTTTTTAACGACTTTCCGGACTTTAGCTTACAAGGTTTTTGCTTCAGTCTATATAAAAAGCGGAAGGCGGACTTCCTGTTTGAACCTTCCCGCTTCAGTGCCAAATTAGGGTATTTCTTGATCCAATTTTCCGTTTCTACTCACGGGTACTTGTTTTAAATCCAATTGTCCACAGGAAAAAGTCAGCGCTCTCCGGCAATGGCTGTGCGGCTTCACTCCGTGAAGTAGCAATCAGTTCGCAGCACCGCGCCGCTCACCCCACTTCACTCCGGAACCCCGCCAGGGGGTTCCCGTGAGTAGGGAGGCGCGCCAGGTGGCCTGCCGAACCCCACGTTCCCAGGCTTCCTCCGCCTGGGATTTCTAGCGGGTCCCCACCTTCGCCGCGGCGGGAAGACCCAGTTTCCACGGAGCCAGTTCCTCCGGTCAGAGGAACTCTGCCATTCGCCGATGGCGCTAACCCGGAAGTCCCCTCAATTTATTTCTCTCATCCAGGGATAGCTTATCCTATAAGCATTAACAAGGCTGTCGTTTTCTGTGGCACTGTACTGTATCCCTGCTAATTTCTCCATAGAAACTGCCTTCAAATTCACCTAAGTTACCTTGCTGTGCAGCAACTCTACATGTCTATTTGGAACAGTTATCCATGCTGAGTTCAGTGGGACTTACTCCCTGGTAAAGGTGTCCAGGGCTACAGCCTACATCTCATTGCATGAGATTATTTATATTTTCCCATAGATGGCTAAACTACTGCCAGCTACTCGAACATGCCCTGAATGTTAGTGAAGAATCTGTCTTAAACAGCTGTGCAGGTGCACCTGAAATTTACAAGCGACTCATCATTTTGATACATAACCATAACTAGATTTTATGGGGTGTGATTTGCTACATTAGCTTTCGTGTATTTAACAGTCATCATCTGCAGCTGGAGGAAGTTATGGGCATCCAAGTACGAGTTTATGGCCAATTACTTTTATCGGAAGGGACCTCCCCCTCCAACAAACTTTCTGTGTTTCCTTTATGTGGCCAGATGCAACTATATTGATAATTCATTGCTTGTTGACCAGGCAGGTTGCAAATCTAACCCAGCGAAGAAGGACAGAAGTTTGCAACTGGGAAAAGGTTAGAAAATAATGAGAACCACAGCTAGACATTTTCTCCAGTTCACTTTGCTGCGAGACTGGTTTGTGTAGTCTTCACTGTTGATAAGTTTGTAGCTTATGCAGCAATCCTAACCCCACTTACCTGGAAGTAAGCACCACTGAATAAACTGGTACATACTTTGAATAGACATGGGTTGCAGCCTTAATTAATGTTTAAAAATAGGACAGAAAGAACATTATCATCAGATTCACATACATGAACGGGAAAGTATCAGAGCAGTAGTATTATGAGTGACTAGTATGACTGAAACCAGTGTGATGCAATGTTTAGAATGTTAGACTTAGACCAGAGACCCAAGCTCAAGTCTTGGCTCAGCCATCAAGCTCACTAGGTGACTGGGCTGGTCACCATCTCTCAGTGTAACCTCCTTTACACTGTTGTTGTGAGGCTCATGTAGAGAGAAAGGAAATAATGTACACTGCACTGAGCACTCTGGACTAAGTGCTTACTAATGAAGTGCATTTTTTATGGTGCATCTATTATGCAACTGTCTTGAATGGTCTTTTATAGGGAGATACTGTGAGCGACAATATATTGATGTCTTTCTGTTTTTCCTGTTTTGCCATTATTTATTGTGAACCACTTTGAGTATATAGAAAAGATGTATTAAAGCTGCTAAACGCCTGTATCCACACCCACCCACAGTGATGTGCTAAACAAAACATTTACTGTATTCCATAGGAGTAAAGTGAGGACAGTCTGCTAAATCTTGCAGCCACTTAAAAGGCATGAAGATGATGCTATGGGCAAGTCTGGGAGGAATTACTGTTATACAGAGCTTACATATTCATAACTTACGATGGAGAATTGAAATATCTGGCACACGTTTCCACACAAACCTGTGACAATAGCCCAGATATTATGCAGTAGCAGACTCTTCCTATTACCAAGTCCAGGTACCAGAGCTTTTGGTAAAAGTTAATGAGAGCTTATGGACCCCATTCATGGAAGAAGCACATACTTTCTGGTTAAGGCTTAAATTTTGGTTCAGGAATATGGTGCTGGTTTGCAGCATTTATGTAACATTTTCAACAACTGAATACATTTGACTTCCCTTTGCCCCCAAAAGGATGGTTGCCGCCATCACCAACTGTGCTAGACAAAGTCCACACAAAGGCTTTCCCCAACAATTTGTTTAGTATACCTAACAAACACTACACCTCCAATTGGCATTACATGAGTGGTATGCCAAAGTCACTGTTAAGAGAAACTGTGTATGTAAAAGCCTTTGGACTCCAGTCAGTGTGGGTTCAACCAAACAGGCAGAAAAGGGAGAGAGGGTGTAGAACATTAGAATTTAAGGGAAATAGCTTTTACTAGATGCAATAGCCCATTCCCAAATCTTGCTTTTGGAAGAATAATAAAATATCTAATTAAAGATAGCTTATTTGGCGTGATAACAACATCAGAAAAGCAAAATGTATGCCCTGGCTCACACAAAGAAAAGCAAGGACAAATATAAAATGACCTAGAGCTTTTTGAAATTATGATTGGCTACACTGTAGTGTGGAAATACTAAAACAGGCATCTGTAAAACTGGATTAAATAGCATGGAAGATGCTTTCTTTGGTATCTGTTACATGCACTGACATGACTTCTTAATAATAATAACAACTATTTTCCAGGTCCAAATACAGGGCACCACAATACAACAAATCTCTGATTTGATAGTGAAAATGATCCTAAAAAGTATTATGTCCTGAAAATGAGCCAATAGGACCTTACACTGTCAAGGTGAAAATATTGCAGAATTACTCCCTGCTGCTGAAATAGATGAGATAGTATTGTTAAGACAAATGGAAAAATGCTACTGCCATGAAGGAAATTATTCCTCCTAATGCATACCTGGACCAAGAAAGCCCTTTATTTTTTAGCGAGTCTCTCACCAGAACCTATAAAGCAAATTAGGTTTTATATGCCTCTGACAGCTTTGCTTTTTAACATAAGATATTTGTTCCTTGGTGATTTATTTTTACATTTTTCAAGGCTACAAAGGGCAGAACTATATGATTTCGGATGTTCATGGACACACTTTAAGTCTGAATATTCTGTACACATGTAAACAAGGTGTGCCTGTCTGCGAGAGTAAGACTTCTTTTAGAGTTGGGCACGAAGGAACAATCAGGAATAGATTAGGACAAGTGTCCTTCATGTTGATTGGCCTTTTCAGTTTCTTCTGTCCCGCTCCCTCTCTCCAGC